GGAAACACGCCAGATGCGTTTCTTGGGCCCGGCAAAACGCATCTACACGTCCTGCTCCTTCCCTTCCTATGCTCGTTTCCGGAGTTGGCCCCGGACCATGGTTTTCGGCAAGAATGAAAGCTAGATGCGTTTTTTCGGCCCGGCAAAACGCATTTAGACCTGTTTTCGTGCTGGCAGTCGTGTAGTGGTAGTAATAGTAGTAGTAGTAGTAGTAGTAGTAGTAGTAGTAGTAGTAGTAGTAGTAGTAGTAGTAGTGGTGGTAGTAGTAGTAGTAGTAGTAGTAGTAGTAATAGTAGTACTAGAAGTGGCAAGCGTAGCAGCTATAGTAGTCTAGTAGTACTAGTAGTAGTAATAGAAGTACTAGCAGTAGAAAAAGGAGGAGCAGGGCCCCGCCACTCAGGCCCACGCGGTGGACAACGACGGGTGACGCATGCGTTTTCCGGACCCGAATAAATGCATATGTGCGTTTTGGCTGAAACCGAACCGATTCGATTCGATACCGATAGCGATTCGAAACCGGTCGCGAAAGGGGGCCGGCCATCCATGCATAGGTGTGCATCAATGCGTATAATTCACAATAGTGTATGCAAATGTATATGAAAGGTTTGCCTGGCTCCAGTTCTTGAATGTTCTTGATGCCACTTCCGGATACTGGTCCAGGTCATTCTGTTGCTGCTCCAGAGAGAGGCAGTTTCCTTTCTTTCCATACTGGTTTCGCTTGGCTTGCGTTTCAAAAAAGTGCTGGCTGGCCGACACGAGCCTTGTTACCTCATTTCCCAGTTACGGGGCTTGCAAGGCTGTGTCGCAAGTCATCGGCAGACTCCCAGAATTATTATGGCTAGAGTACACAGAGTACAATCAAAATGATGCTGACGATTCCGGCTTTCTCAGTTGTGTAGTGCTCCCAGATTCATCATGGCAGCTTGGTTATGCAAGTACGCGCGCGCGCACAATCACACACACACACACACCCAGCGTTATGAGTATCTCCAGTCTGGGATTTATGTTTGTTTTTTTTGGGTTGAATACCTCGCAATACATGGTCGGAACGCGTTCGGGAACAGAGAGCAACATGTAAACACAATTCGAGTGTAAAGAGACTGTAAAGGGTGACGCGGGCGCATCCATGTTCCAATGTTTCAGCGCTAGTGCATTGCACTCAAATAGAGACGATGATGGCTTCTCTGCCAACGATGGCTTCTCTGCCAACGATGGCTTCACTGCCGACGATGGCTTCGCTGCCAGTCGAGTCATAGCAGAGCTTCCAGACCAGCACTAGCACGGAGACAGCCTCGCCGAACATGGGAAGTGCCGAGCATTATATGTTTTTCGCGCGTGCGGATTGCTCGTTGTCAGTCATGGTCGTGCCAAGACATTTGAGTACAACGGACTACACTTGTTGGATTGTCATCCGAAGCCTGTTCCAAGTGGAAAGACTTGCGTGGGGGACAACCTGGTAGGTTTGGGGTGCTCTGGTTGAGAGTTCCTAAATGTTCTTCTTAGAGCTTGTTCTTCAGGGCGCTATGGGCTTGACGCTGATCAGGAACGGTTTTCGCCCGGTTGAATCAGGCATCAACTGGCGTTGCACCCCCTCAGACGCAGAGTGAACTTGCCCAAAACTCTCGTTCTGTGCTGCTGTTTATTGCACAGAGCGCGTGACCAAACCTTTTAACCTCGTTAAGCCGCCTCTGACACTTGGTAGTTCTAAAAGTCTGTTCTGTACTCAGGATGACTCAGATCCTTGCTGTACTCTCTCCTGACACAAGGGAATCTCTCGTACCACTTCCACCAAACTACCCCGACATGCTGGAATCGGGAACCCTTCCTGCGCGTTTGGGGGTATCCTCCATGGAATGTTTGACAGGCCTGCAATAGGCAATTGGCACTGAACTCCGGTGACAGCGGCACATACTTCGCAGCAACAGTTCCTGGTTGGGTTCAACCAGGGTTGCAACATCAAATCCAGGATTTTAACTGGTTGGGTTGGGTTCAACCAGGAACTCGTCAGCCAGGCACGTTTCCCTCAGTAGCTCACCCTTAGAACCCGGGACTTCAGAGGAGCGCTGTGCCGCAGAGCTGCTGAAGATGGAGCTTCTGGAGATGGCGACATGGATGGATTGGGGAGCGGTGTGCTGGGGAACTCCTTTCCGTCTTGGAAGCACGTCGTTTGGGGGTGGTGTTTCTTTGGGCAGCGCCGTCTTCTTGTAGCTGGTGTTTGTTGTTGGGGTGCATTTATTGGATGGTTTGGAAAGCAAGCAACAAAAGAAACCAGGAGTTCAGTGCCTTCAATTCCCTTTTTCTTGGGGTCCTGACCTCAAATGCTCAGCCCAAAAATTAGTCTTTTTTTGAGCTTTTGTTGGGCAGGCGAGAACAGGGAGCCCATGTTTGGGAAAACAAGCGACCACTTGGATGGGTCCCCCAACGGGTTATAGAGTTGAGAATCTACTGTACTTGTTTGGTTTGCGGTTTCCAGCTGGTTAGCCTGTGCCATCAACCCCAAGAAGAGTGCCAAGCCTCGACTAAAGGATATACCCATTGTGCTCTTTGATTGGCGTTCTTAGGAAATCAAGGGGCATTGCGGCAACCCCAACAGGCTACCGTAGTGTTCAACAGAAGACTTTGTCACATCGTTTAAGGAATCCATCATTTCCGGTTGCGTGTGTCTGGCGACATCATTTGTGTCGATGAAAGCCAGTATGAACACGGGCTGTCGCTATGACTGATATGCTTTTCTGCCTCGAAATATGGATAATGCCAACCATGCGATCCATGCAAGAATGAATCCAGTGGACATGTCATAGAGACAGATTTCTGAACAGCCCTGGACCTCGTTGGGTTCTGTTTGGGCGTCGGCCGGCCACCAAAAGCACCAATCGAGCGAGGTGAAGCGGGAGCGGCAGGCCACTGCGGATCCGACGCGGGAGGCCGGCGTGATTTGCCATGGGTTTGTCTCTAAATGAGGGAAGCCCACCATGAGTGGTCCTTTTTACCTTGAAACTTCAAGCTTTGGCAGTCATTCTCTCAAAACCACAATATAGGACATGTGTAGATAGAAATAGCCGCAACAAGGTTGAGAATCAAAGCCAGTGCTATTGCTTGAACACGTTTGCCCGCGACGTTTGGACATACTATGCACAGTCAGGGCGCCGGCATAACATAGAGAACAACAACATAGCTCCCACCCATACGTGGAATTGTGCTGAAAGAGATTTGGGGAGAGGCACCGGCCGAAGTTTCATTTCAGCTCCTCAAATCACACTGATTCGTGTCTAAACTTAAGGTCCCTTCAGATGGTGGGCCTCCTGTGCCTCCCGGGAGGGGGGGGGGTGCTGTGAGGGAAACCACCTGAAACCTTAGCTTATTTGCAGCCATACCAAAGGGGATCACCAGGTTTGACATGTCCAAATGTTGAACGCTGGTCGCAGGTTCCCGCATGTGCCCACGATATGATGCCTCTCGGCCAGCAAGACACATTCGCACGGCAGGTTGTCCACAAGCTTCGTTGTTTGCCTTCGAATGGTTGGTTTCCCATTGATTGCCATTCGAACAAATATTTGCCCCTTCCATTGACAGGTCGACCTTGGCCCCATAAGGACGGTTAGACAACTTTGGGGGAAACCAAAGCTTGGACCCTTAAAAACTCCTTAAACATGCCAAAATGTGTTTTGGTTTGAGGGTCCAGGAATCCTGTTTGACGCACGCCAGCTAAGTTTTGCGCTGGCAGTGGTCATTGGAGCCGCCTTTCGCCTCGCGCCTCGGCTTGGAGCCACGTCACGTTTGCAGTCTGCTACTAAGTTTGGGGGCTGTTTCAACATCAGGACATGCACCCAACATGGTGGGTTTTCTTTGGGCTTCCCTTGACAAAACGAGCCCAAAGCCCCAAAGAAGGCACACTGTATTTTGCTCACAAACTTTTAGGTTGGGCTCTGTGGATTCCGAAAGAGTCCAGCCTTCTCCACATAGCCGAGGGAGTATATAAAGCAAGTTGCTTACTACTGTTTTTTTCTTGGGGACAAGACGTTGCACAGCATACGCGCAGCTTGCAGCAACAACGAGCAAACCTATCACAGGCATCCTCATCCAACGAGAATCCTACCAAACTCATTGTTTAGTTGGATTGTTCAAGATCAGTCTTCAACATCCTTGTGCCAGATGGCAGTGGTTTCTCTTGTTGTATAGGTGTCCCACTATGGATTACGAGTAGGAATTTGGCACCCCACGCTTGAGGTTTTGAACTTGGCAGGCTGTGGATCTTAGACGGTTCGCATGTCGACATCTCAGGTGCCAGTGGTTCCACTGATGCTTGCAATCTGGCATGGGCTCAGGCTTTTGGACCTTTGACCGTCAGTTCCTTCGCTTATTTTGTTGAACAGACGGTGTCGTCTGAATGACAACTTATGTGTTGCAGGCTTTACATGCCGAAACAATGCATGGTCAACGTTCCATTTGCTGCTGGTGCCAGTCTGTACATATATGGATGGACAAGGGCTCGATGAAATTGTCGAATCCTGTCATCACAATGGCTTGTAGATGGCGGAAGGGTGGAAACAAAGTTTCGGCGAAATGGGTGTTTGATGCGAAAGGACATATTTCGCTTTGCATTTCGTGACAACTTGACAAAATTAGAGGCACCTTGATTACCACAGTGATATGACTATTCTCACATTGCAATGCATATTTATTTAAGCGTTTTCGAGTTCACGCCCAGCATTGACGGCTGGCAAAGTGTTGAAACCCTATGGGGGCAGGACTGCGATTGGACAACAGTTGCGCAAGGTCGCCGGAGTGCTGGCCTAGGTCTTTTCGACTTGGGAGAAAGGCTGATTGTATCTGGTGCATCCCTTTGGTTGATCCGTTCATTTGGGCTCTGCGTTTCAGGGGCTTGGGGTCTCCTGGATCAGACCGGCATGGGACCAGCTAGCAGTTCCCCCAACCTCAAAGCATCTCAACAACCAGCAAAACACCAACTTTATTCAATTGGTGTACCAACTGCACCAAATGACGTACAAGCTGCTAAGCATCAATTGGTTTGCCACACCCAAACATCTGACAGCGACCAACTTAGCCAGCTATTTCCCTGGACACAAGACCCAGCTTGCGCGGCTGATCCGCTCGTTTCGAAAAAGCGCGATGCGCCGGCGCGGCATCGCCGCGGAACTGGAGGGCCAGTACTCCAGTAGCGATGGCCGGGCAACTCAGCGGGGCCCATTTTTTTGGTTGCGAATGCGGTTGCATGTTTTGGCGTGTGTGGTTTTTCTGATTGCATCCTTGTTGGATATTTGCTTGGCTTCGTAAAAGGGCACACTTTTTGCAAATTGTGTATGTTAATCTGCGGGGTGCGGGATGAATCCACTGCCATGAGCGAGCTCATTTTCGAGGCGAGGGACATGCCGCAAGGGCCCAGCTGGAGGAGCAGAAGGCGGATCTGGCTCGAGGGGACTCGAAGCGAGAGTCGGGTTTTTCCCATGGCCACTGAAGGCCTGGAGTCGTCAACTGCGGTAGGAGTGGGGGGAAGATGCAACATCAAGCCGCAACCAGCAACAAGCGAATATACGCCACACGCCGCAACGCACAACACCAAAGCTGACAAAAACAATGCAGAGAATGGACAAACTCCTAAGCACCCCGTACCAGCTGCAGGCTCATGCCGTACTTTATAATTATTTCTTGGGAACCACCCTCCTGAGCTATGTACCAGCATCACCATATCTGACAAGTCAGTTTCAAGAAGTGCAACTTCCTGCCCACCGCAGGTGCGGCGAAGGCGACGGCGGCAGCCTCAGAGCCGCACCAACGTGCTGTTGGAGCAGGAGGAGGAGGAAAACCCCCAGGAGACGCAAGCTGGGTATTGGAATGGAGGGTTGGGCCAGCTCCTGGGTGAAGCAAGGTCAAATACCAATTGCTTGAATAAAAAATGCATTTGGGGTCTCAGCTGTACGCGAATCGACCGGATCGACCAAAATGGTTCTGCCAGATTGGCACTCGTTTTCAGTTCAGGTCACGAAAGCTGAAAGAAATAAGGGACATCCACCTATTCAACAATTGGTCTTGTGTGGCTGGTCTATTTGCCATAGGGGATTAACCATAGCAACCCTGGCAACCCATCAAGATGGCCAAGCCACATGTGCCCATGCTTCGGACTGGTTTGTATTTGCCTCTTTTGATCTTGTGGTTTGGTGCAGTTACTGGGCTGAGCTTGCTGTACTTCCCTGGTCATGGTCGGCGAACATTTTGTTTAGGGTCACGCTCTGTGATACCAAGAAACCTCCCCTTGAAGTGATAAGCTAGACATGGGGACGGGAATCCAACTTTGATATTTCAGAAAATGGTGTTTGTCCACAACCATTTCCATGGGCACGTTGGAAAATGTGCATAGGCAAACAATAGCATTTCCGTCTCGCTGCTAAGTATTTCACCATCGGCCAGTTTGCGGGTTAGACCTAACATGACAGTCAAAGGTCGTCCAGGATTCAGGCAGAAGTAATCCGTTAGATCCAACACACATTTGACAATTAGACTTGTTGCTTACCAGCATTTCATGTGTGTGTGTGTGCGCTCTAAACTGGGATAGACTTAGGATACATTTTACATTTTACCAGTGACTCAAAGTGAAGCAAAAACAATAGAATGTACATTCTATAACTGGGCCTAACTCTAATCATGTAAACACAAAGGACGCATAGTAGAGAGGCCACTCGTTTTCCATGTCCACTTTTGTCGTAGATGATTTCATGTTGTTTTGTTCTTGAGTGAGCCATCCTCCATGAGTCGTCCCAGAGGGACAACATAGGGGTGGGAGCAAACCAAGCAAACAAGCAAGCGTACAAGCAAACAAGCAACCAAGCAAAGCAGCAAACAATCAAGCAAAACAAACAATCAATCACCAACACACCAGCCAGCCAAGCAAACAAGCAAGCAAGTACGCAAAGGAACGGACAAACGAGCAAACAAACGGAAACAAAAGCATAGACCAAGCAAGCAAGCAAGCAAGCAAGCAAACAAGCACACACACAATCAAGCAATCAAGCAAACAAGCAACCAAGCAAACAAGCAACAAACAAACCAACACACAAACAAACAAACTAACAGACAGACAAAGACACACGCAAATAAACAAACAAACAAACAAACAAACAAGCAAACAAGCAAACAAGCAAACAAGCAAACAAGCAAACAAGCAAACGCAATCGCCAAACACAGAAGCGGACAACAACAACAACAACAACAACAACAACAACAACAACAACAACAACAACAACAACAACAACAACAACAACAACAACAACAACAACAACAACAACAACAACAACAGCAACAGCAACAGCAACAGCAACAGCAACAACAACACAACACAACAACAACACAAACAAACAACACAACAGCAACAAGCAACAGCAACAGCAACAGCAACAGCAACAGCAACAGCAACAGCAACAGCAACAGCAACAGCAACAGCAACAGCAACAGCAACAGCAACAGCAGCAGCAGCAGCAGCAGCAGCAGCAGCAGCAGCAGCAGCAGCGACGACAACAGCAGCAGCAGCAGCAGCAACAGCCGCAGCAACAGCAACAGCAACAGCAACAGCAACAGCAACAGCAACAGCAACAGCAACAGCAGCAGCCGCAGCAGCAGCAGCAGCAGCAGCAGCAACAGCCGCAGCAACAGCAACAGCAACAGCAACAACAACAGCAGCAGCAACAACAACAGCAACAACCACAACGACAACGGCAACGACAACAATTACAGCCACAACGACAACGACAACAACCACAACCACAACAACAGCAACACCAACAAGATCAACAGCAGCAGCGACAACAAGTAAGTAAGCAGGCAGGCAGTCAGGCAATCGAGCAAGCGACCAAACAAGCAAACAAACAAACAAACAAACAAAGGACACACTGACAAACAACCGAGCAAAAGCAGAAGCGAGCGATCGAAAGACCGAACGAGTGAACAACGAACGAACCAACCAGCAAACAGAGCACACAACAAACAATCAACCCCACAAGCAAGTAAGCAAACCAAGCAACTATATAAGAAACCAAGCGACTGACCGATCGACCGACCGACCGTCCGATCGACAGACCGACCGAGTGACCGACCACACAGACGAACAAAGAAGCAAACAAACAAATGAACAAACGATCACGCAAAAACACAACCAACAAACAACACGAACAACAAAAGCAGGCAAAACAAGCAAGCAAGCGAGCAAAACGACATACAAGCAAACAAGAAAACAACCAAGCAAGCAAACGAGCAAACGAGCAAACGAACAAACAAACATTCAGGCAAGCAAACACACGCAGGAACGAACAATCCAGCAACCAACCGATCACACATCCAAACAAGCCAGCAAGCAAGCAAGTTAACAAGCAAAATACCAAGCAAGTGAACAAGCAGGTAGGCAGGGGCAGGCAAAGCAGGCAAGCAAGCAAGTAAGCAAGCAATCAAAGAAGCGATAACCCAAAACAGGAAAGCACGGCTACAAACCACAACTTCATCCCCAAATCAATGCTTGCCGTTGTATCTTGCGCAGGAGCCGTCTCCCCGCTTCCGCGCCCGGGGTGGTGGCGGAGGTGGTGGCAAAGCGCGGCGGCAGAGGAACGCGGCGGATTCCGACAACGAGCAGGCGGGAGTCACCAAGTGAAACAGCTCGCTCTTGCTTATGGGTGTGCATGTTTTATTGAGGGTACTCTGTGCACCTTGGTTGGAAGGAAGGCCAAAAGGACAACCACATGTTTGCTGTCCCCTTTCTGGAGACATACCCACATCTATGTCTTGCACAAGGGATTCTTTCTGAAGCGGCATGTAAGCGGTGATTTTGATCATATCACTTTAAATGACTGAGTTTGTGGATGGAATAAGACAAGTGTGTTGCCACCGGAGGCTTTGGATCTGGCGCATGGATGCTCAACTACATGACTAGGGAAGGCTCACCCAAAAACCACCGGTTGCAAAGGAATCCAGCTATGTCTTTCTTGAGTTGTGGGTTGTTGTTTGTTATTTCTATATGGACACCAAATGGAAACAACTTTGGGGGTTGCCTACTTTCAAGACGCCCCTATCCGAAACGAGACCAACTGTGCATGGCAGGAGGTCGACGAAGACAATGAGGCGGGTGATTTGCCTTGCGACCAGCAGCGCGCAATCAGCTTTTTCACAAGAAGGTATGTGTGGAAATAGGGTCCTCATGACCCAGCGCATGTTGGTGTTCCATTGGTTTCTCAAACCAACCTGAAAAGTTACTTTGAATACAACCCCATGTCGGTTTTGCTTTGGCAGAAGGACCCACTTTGGTCTGAATTTAGGGGAACCGCTGCGTGGGTATCGTCAAAGAGCCTTGACATGTCATACCAACATGTGCGGTAGAACGTGCCAAAAGCATGCGAAACGATAGGGTTGCAGAACAAAAGCGGTAACCCGACTAAACATGGCTTTGTGTACGGGGCTACCCTGATGCAAGGAAATGAGCACTAAACTCTGTAAAACGATAGGGTTACAAAAAAAACAAGATAGCCTCTACTCGATGTCCCTTGGCTATACAAGAGGTTTCGTAATTTGCTCATGTGTATATTGCTGTTTTTGTATATGATCATTGTTACTATCATGATTATTAGGTATATTTCAGTTGTATTGTTACTCTTATTATGTTTATTATTGTATACACAGATGTATACACAGTTCACACGGATATGAACTCATACGTCTGTACACATACCTGGACACACATTAGCATGAGCTCGGGGGTTTGTGAATTCGTACACTCTGCCCAACCAAGGAATAGGCTGATTCCTGGAACACAAACCAGGGAACCAGGGGCGCACAGTGCAATACTTGGTACTTTTCCTGCTTGTCACTTCAGCTAGGGACACAACATGTTACAGAAAGATACGGATGCCTATGAATCACTGATCTGAATCGAGTAAGGAATGAGAAAGAGCCCGTACATTCGATGAGGTCGTTTCATCAGGTTGATGAACAAGGTCTGAGTGATTAGCGGTCCTTCACTATTCAATCCCCTTTCAACGAGGGAGCAGATTTCTGAATCTGGTACGGTGTGACATCTATTCCACTCAAGATCGCTCAAGCACCACAGGACACACCTGGCTGCCTCTAGTGGTCATGCGTCCAAGGGATTTCTCAAGGGACACAACTCTTAAGGGAAGCGTGTCCATTCCCTGGGCGAAGGCTTTCCTGTCGGCTTGAGTCCTTTGTGAAGTCGCCAGCATGTTGAAACATTTGCAGACAAGACGTGAGCATCCGGATATGGGTCAAACTTAAACCACCAGGGGACCACAGGTTTTAGTCATTGTTTCCATTTACCAGGGTGCCATTTTGGGGTTTCCCCATTTTTGACGCACAGCCATATGTCCGGACACGGCAAGCTCGAGCGAGCCGCGCGAGGAGTGGCAGCAGGATCTCGAGGCCCGGGGGAACGGCGACCTCATGAGAGCCTTTGCCCTAAAGCCCTGTGACGTCAAGGAGAGGCACCGGGCACTTGGCACCTCCTTTTCAAGGCCCTGATGGGCTTTGGTGTGGCCGTTTTTGGGTGTGAGCTCGTTTTTTTTGGTGATGTTCAAATCAAACATGTAGGGATCCTGTTGACAGGTTGACCCTTCTTTGCAACCATGGTGTTTGCAAGCAGCTGTTTCGCTGTGGTTTCGTAATGTTGTGTTTTGCCGGCGGCTGTAACATGGCATGGCCAAAAATATGGCCCTTTCTTGATAACACGGTTGGTTGTTTCGCTGTGTTCATCAATGATTACTGAACCATGCCTGGTTTTTCATCGACATGGTTGTTTGAGAGACGGCATCTATTTGCTTCACTTCATTCATCAATTTCCCTTTAGTTACCGCCACCCATTCTTGGGTTGCCAGCTACTGCAGCAAAAATGCAGCCGCCCACGGATTCCTTGTTATGATACTTTTCTTCCAACTCAGCCCTTCAAAGTTCAGGTAACTGAATGCTCGTACCTTCATTAATTGCAGTACCTTGCTTAATGCACATACTTGTTGATTTCCCTGAGTACCGGTATGCACATTGTTCTTTCAGACTCCAGTGGTCGGAAGAGTGCCTATAGGGTTGTAGCAGATGGGGTTGCAGTTGCATCGGTTTTTCTCCACACAAGGGCTTCCAATCAGGCCCCCCCCAGCTCACAGACTCAAGCAAGAGTGCGCGAAGCAAGAGCCACATTATACATTTGGCCATGATTTGTTTAAATGTGGTAACAACCCAGCAGGGGCTTGCGCATATCATCCCCCTTAGCCCCCTTGTGAATGATGTCCAGCAAGGACTTCTCACCAAAGCCCGCACCCATCAATGCGACTGGCTCAAACGCTCAGTTGTGCTTACCGGCGGCGTCGGTAAGCGCAACCACAGAATAGACAGCGCGCCCAGGGGCTGAGTATGTGCTCCCGACGGCTTGGCTGTGCTTACGGACGCCGTCGGTAAGCGCAACTGCCTGCTCTTACATGAAACCCGTCATCCATGCTCCAAATGGGCCCACGGTGTGTGCGGCAAAATGCCTGCGCTTTTGAAGCTCTGTTGTTAGCGCAGCCCAGGGGCACACACACAGAGAAGTGGGCAGGGCTGATTGGAGGGCAGGGCTTTGTGTTTTTGCAACTCGCCTACAACCCCATCCACTACAACCCTAATTATAGGACCTTTTCCAATCCAGTCTTAGCACCCAGATACACTTGGCTTGATTTTGATGGGGAACACCCTCCAAATGGTTGTACACATAAGTCCCCAAGCTCTAAGGATATGGCAGTCAAGGCCTTAGGCTTAGGAGGTTCAGGAGGGGCAGCGAGTTGCCAATTTGATCTGGCATGACATGGGCATGGTTTTGCCGCAGGTCTCGGGACTCAGTGTTGGGACGTTGGATGATTTCTTTGCCGAACGTTCAAAGTCTGCATGCTTTTGATAGTATCAGCCAGCGGGACACCACTGTTTTTGGATTGCCCTCCATTTGAAGACAAACCCAAACTGTGTGTTTGTTGGTTTGAGTGACACCAGCGTGACAGCGTGAGGGTAAGTTTGTGTGTGTAAATACCATGCTTTCATGTAGGGCGCATGGTCGTCTTTCATGAAACGTTTCACTGTCGCTCAGCTGGTGGTGGCGAGGGTGGACGGATGCTTGGCTTGGCACTGATTGTAGCCAGGTCCAGCAATTGCATCATTTGCTTAAGACGGCAGTTTGTGATTGTGTCATGTGCTTTGCAAGTTGTTCAAGTCATGGGTTGGGCCCCGCTCAGCAAACAGAGGAAGGGGTCCGTTGCGCCGTATGCCTACAACATGGCTTTGCGCGTGTTGCAGAATCCTTTGAATTATATGTCTGAATGTGAAGGTCAAGCTGCACCGCAGAATGTCAATACAATCACAGAATGGGAGATAATGCGATGGGAACCACCGACAATGATTGGACAAGCGCGATGCAAAGCCCCACAAGTGTTCACTTCAGTGTTCTTGTTATCGTTCAGGTAAAGCATCAGTTTTGTCTGCTTCATTGCTCTGAGCATTGAGTCCCCTCGCTAGGAGATCCGTCAGCTGCAAGACGAGGCCTTCCTGGGGGGCAAGAAGTGCCCTGGGGCTTTGCCGCTCTTCAACTTGGAGCGCAAAGTGAGCCTCCAGTGCCGAGCCCAGCGATCCATCGCTTTGAGACGTGTTCCGATCGCTTGCACAGGGATAGTGAGTGTAGCAACGAATCCATGTGCGCTAGAACCCGTTTAGGGTCACCCAAGCTGGATCAGGCTGGTGCTTCGCTCTTGGCTCGGTTCCTCAACTAATTCAGTTTGGGTCAGTTTGGTTGCCTTGTTTTGCTACCTCACTTCCGCAATTGTCACTTCGCTTGGCTTGTTTCGGGTTGGTTCGGTGGCTTTTTCCAAACTGACCTTGGCCGGTTTGGTCCACCCTAGGTCCGCATGGCGGGGTTTCAGCCCAAGCATTTGCTTACAGCTTTAACTTCACCCAAAGGGGCAGAATTGGCTTCCTCAGGGAAGATAGCTGCTAGGAAAACCTGGGATTGCCTTATGTTCAAACACCCTGCGCCATTTGTCCTCCTTCATGTCGTTTCACGTCTGTTGTTTCAAGGGGAGTATTGTGCTGGCGACTCCCACAGTGGAGAAGGCAAACACACCGATTCATTGCTTTGCATTGGCAGCTCCGCAACCTTCTACGTGCAACAGTGACAATCGGTCCAGGCAATGCTTACATTGCTCAACTCAACAGGCGCCTACCAGAGTTTGTGATATGGGTTTGTCTTTTTTTGGTGTGTTGAGTTGCTTCAAAAGGCAGAAGGTGGGACCTCCCCGAATCATACCCCCGAATCATACCCCCGAATCATACCCCGAATCATACCCCCGAATCATACCCCTTAAACCGTATGCTGCAAGATGCTACTGTTCTTCTACCGTTTTGTGTTGTTCACTGTCTCCACAACAACCACCACCAGCGCTACCCAATACTACCACTGCCACTACTACTACTACTACTACTACTACTACTACTACTACTACTACTACTACTACTACTACTTCAATTACTACTTCAATTAGTACTACTACTGCTACTACCACCACTACTACTACTACTACTACTACTGCTACTACCGCGACTACGAGTATTACTACCACTACCACCGCTACTGCCGCTGCTACTACTACTCTACTGCTTCTACTTCTGCTTCTGTTACCCTTACTACTAACTACTGCGACTACAACCTTGCTACTACTACTACTACTACTACTACGACTACTACCTTTATTACTGCTACAACTACTACTACGACTACAACCTTGACTACTACTACTACTACTACTACTACTACTACTACTTACTACTACTACTACTACTACTACTACTACTACTTTTACTACTACTACTACTACTACTACTACTACTACTACTACTACTACTACTACTACTACTACTACTATTCCTGCTTCTGCTGCTGCTGCTACTACTCACTACTACCACATACATCATTCTGAGTGTGTAATCAGTGCCGTTTTGCACCTAGCCGAATCATACCCGCGAATCATACTCGAATCATACCCGGACAATGAGCTTCCCCTGCCAAGGCTAGTGCTAAGTCTTTTTCACAGCGTCCGCACCACTACAGCCGCTGCTGCTTATACTCAGCTGCTACCACTACTTCTGCAACTGCTACTACGACTACCACTGCCGTTTTGCACCTAGCCGAATCATACCCGCGAATCATACCCGAATCATACCCGCGCAATGAACTGGCCTTGCCAAGGCCAGCGCCAAGTCTTTTCAAAGCTTCCGCGCCACTACAGTCGCTGCTTCTACTGTTACTACTACTACTACTACTACTACTACTACTACTACTACTACTACTACTACTACTACTACTACTACTAACTGTTACTACTACTACTACTATTACTACTACTACTACTACTATTGTTACTACTACTACTACTACTACTACTGCTACTACTACTACTGATGTTACTACTACAATATTACTACTAGTACTACTACTTCTGCGAACTGCTACTACTACTACTGCTGCTGCTGCTGCTGCTTCCGCGAATCACACCCCCGAATCATACCCCGAATCATACCCGCGAATCATACCTGCGAATCATACCCCGTACTCAAACCTTCCTGCCCGGCCACCCTAAAAAAATACAAACCCATATCTTTATCATCGGATTCGTTGCCCTGTGCACCCCTTGGCTGAAGCCATTTGGGTTCAGTAGCCCGTGTTTGCCAACTACAGCGTTTGTCACGCCATCGCCCGATGGTGCCATTTCCTTGCTTCGCTCTTGTAACGCTCTTCATGACGGCGGGCGCCACACGCATTGATGCCACGCGCATGGACCGGCAAGAGGAGAAGGCGGCATTGGGTTTGGCAAAATTTCCGCACCGCTCTGGGCGGTTTTTGCCAGTCATGGCATCCCTATTGCAAAAAAATATCACAAAAGCTTTTCTTTGTGACAGGACTGTCAGACCACCATGATACTCTTGATTTACCAGTAAAGGCAAGTCAACAATCCACATCTATTGTAAGAGACATGTTGCTTTCTTTTCTGCACACGTTGAGCAGTTTCAGGCATCCCTTGAAGCCCGGACAAGTAATGTTGGAATGAGTGCAGTCGATTTGCATATTCACCGGGGTATCTTTGAGTCAAAAATGCAAATCGCCTGTTCCAAATTACATGTTGCGTGATGTTTGTCAAGGCCGTTTGCCAAAAGAGGTCTTGTCAAACAGGTGGCTGGCTTCATCCCTCAGGTAGTGCAGGTGGAGCTGGTTCATTCCAACATCAGCGATTGTAGTTTCGGCATGGGCCAGTGTTGCTCCACCAAGTGCGAGGGAAGAAGCGACGCCCAGTATAAAGGGCAGCTCTCGAATTGCGCCTCAGCTCAGCGTTGACAAATCGAGTTTTCGCCTTTTTTTCCATCCCCAGGTAGTCAAGGCCATTTCTAGCCTTGGGATTTGTGATATGCGGGTCGTTTGGAGTGAGGCAACGTCGAGAAGGGCAGAGTCTTCAACCAAGAGGGGGACTTCTACAAGTGCAGGGAGGAATGCACTCTCAAGGTGCAGGGCTGAAGCATGCTGAAGCAAATTTGGAAATTTTGAAATGTGTCGGAGCTGGCGACCCCTTGTGGGATGGCTGTAAAGGGCAAGACACCAAACATTTGGGTCCTGCCCCCCGAGTTGGACATAGGGCAAAATGGAATTGCGGAAGCAAGAGGTGCGCTTAGGGAGGGAGCAGTTTGCCCAGCTCTGAGGCGGAGGCCGCTATTCAGTTTGATTTGTCTTCCTTGTGGCCCTTTGGCAAGAAGAAGAAGGAAACGCGCTACATCACCAAGCACGTGGCGGTCTACAGAACGGGCGGATCCCCATACCCCGCATGCCGCAGCGTGGTGAGCTGAAGCAGGCTGAAACGCCTTCAGCGCCGGGTCCTTCCCGGGTACATCCTTTGATGTAGGAGACTCTACTGTCGATCTTGCAGAACCAGCGCCCCCAACTGCTTTGTCAACAGCATGTATGGACAAGAGGAAAAGCAGTTGTGGGGGGGTTGGAATGTCAAGCGTGGGTCTATGTTCCCTCTGACATTGAGGAGCCTGCAACATGTTGCCTGCGGTGTCTAGAGATGCGCAAGCGAGCCAAAGCAAAGCGCGAGACGTCGTAAAACCTACCACAATGTGGGCAGCGAAGGGAAAGCCGCTCCATGCCCCAAGAGTGCCCACGTCAAAATGCCACGCGTTTTTCAGGAGGGGACCTTTGAGGTTGGCACTGATGATCCTGTGCTACATTTGGTTGCAGCAACATGCAACATGCTTCTCTCCGGGCAGACTTTAGAGAACACTCTGGATCCGCGATTTAGCTTGCAAGCAAATGTTTGGCATACAGAGGAGTCTTTTCAGGTGTGCAATCCCAGGCTTCAGACAAGACCACACGTTCTGGAATATTTTTTTGGATGTGGAACACGATCTCCCTTAGTTCTCCGCTCGCATAACGGATGTGAGGTGTACGGCGCGAAGAGCACCTTAGAATGCGAGAATGTTCCTAATGAAGCGGTTTGCATGAAGGGACAGCGAGGGTGATCCTATATGAATAGTCCTGATGATAATAATACAAGCACAAGTATTGTGAAACTGCACAGAAGCTGCTTTCTTCCCGAAGGCTGATCGTTGTTCAAGCCGGATGGCCGGATGTGTTTGCTTTAATGTTACGTAGATGTTTATCTCCTGCTGGCCCCCTCTCCCCCCCAAAGGCGGAGGTGAGGACATCTGCAAACGTGGGGCTTGCGAATAGGCAACCGATTAATTGGCAGATCAGATACCTTTTGTGGGCAACCATGACAGGCCGTTCCTCGGCATGCGTCTGAGGTGTTCCACACAATAGTCAAGAGACGCATTCAACCAGGATCTTTGATATTTTCATCTACATTTAGTTTGAGTTTGATCGCTAGCTGCGGTCATCCCCTTGACCGAAGCCAAATATTTAGCGTTCGCCACACCATCCTCGCGATTTTGTTCTTCCTTGACACTCCTCTAGCATCTGGTGCTGCACGTATCGATGCCAAACACCTGGACCGGCAAGAAGAAGGTGGAATTTGGCCAAACCATTTTCAAGCATCGACGCCGGGCGCTGTTTGTGCCAGTCGAATCCCTGTTGAACATGATAACAAATGTCGTCCTTTGTGACAGTGCAGTCAATTTGCAGGTATGTCGGTTCCTGTGAATCAGTCAAAACTGCGAATCACCTGTTTGAAACATACATGCTCTGAAGCAGGTGCTTTGCGTGACTTTTGTCAAGTGAACCGATCCTTGCTTCGGCGTGGGGCGGGCCGTGCAACAAGCGTGGACAGTCCTTTAGTTGGGGATGTTTTTCTGGTTCATTATTATGTGCTCAGACCCGCAGAGACTACATCCTGGAAAGTTTGCAAACCTCTGGCAAGAACAGGGGAGTAATCGTTGCTTCCCCCTAAATGTTTTTGGTTTCAGAGAAATATAGTTAATAGGGTCGCAGAGGTCCCCTGTTTTTTCCCAGGCAAATGCTTTTGCCACTGGAGAAGTAGAACTGCAACTTTTGCACTTGAATCGTAGACTCAAATGGATGCAATCTAGGGGCGTGTCTTCTCAGTTTTCATGTTTGAGACGTTCCTTGCTGGAAGCAGACAATGCAGGTCAGGGTGGGCCCCATGCTTTACTGCTTTTGGTGGGTGGCAGTTGAGCCAGGGAATTGCTGACAGTACCTCTCATAATAAGGGACATCAGATGTTGCGTATTGGCTTAGTATCCGGTCAATTTAAAAGTGCAGGGAAGGGGTGCGAGCTGACTTTTGCATCAACAAACAGAATGTTTGAGTAGGGGCGGTTTTGCAGGGGAAGCTATTACAAGGAGCCAAGCAACTACTGAAAAGTTAATTTCCAAACGACATGGCGAAGCTTCTTTCAAGAAGTACCCCATAATTATTTTTGCCTCAGGCCCTCATAGATCCTTGGCTGAGGTTCTTGCTGGCCACCTACAAGGCCAGTGAGAAGGGCCGGGAGCGCAAGGAGGACGCCTTGGCGCTGCACCGGCCCTTCCTCCGGTGGCTGCTGAAGAAGGCGCAACGACTCGGCCAAGAAACGCTGTGGGGATCTGTGGGGCATAACGTGGCACACTATGAGAAGCATGTGAGCTTGGCCTTACAAGCAGGCCCCATTTCAGGCTTTATGAAAATCCCATGAAGAAATGGCAAGGTTGCAATGGTTCGGGACTACCTGGAGATAATGAATTAAATCGGAAATCAATTGATCCTTGATCCATCCCCAAGCCCGATTGCGCACCCTTCCAGATTTCACAGCAACACGCGGCAGATAGTTGCGATTGTTGGGCGCAAAGGGCTTGCACCCTGCCCCACCGACTCCAGAGTGCGGCATGTCCACTTCTTGAACCTGCAAACAAAAATAGTAACCAGGATCGAAGGGTCGCTGTTGGAGGAAACTGCTCCATGCCACGGACTGGCACCCTTGCAGCTTTCGTGTTTGTCTTGCGGACAGTGCAGTACCAAGCAGGGTCAGGCGCTAACATTCCTCCGAACTAGGCCCATGTTTCCCTTTAAAGAAAAGTCAACATGAAACGTCGGAGGTTCCACATGAGCCACGAGGCACACGTGGCTTCCTTTGGCATAGATTTCGAGGGCTCGGCCACTGCCTTGCCTTTTGGGACTCGAGGCGCGGCAGCTGCAGCTGCTGAGCTCCAAGGAGGCGACAGCGGACGGTTTGCCGACGCGTTTGAACGTGGGATTCAGAGGTTTGCCTTTGGGACATGGTTGCCTTTGCTTCCTTGCAGCTTCAAATCCTCTCTGTTTTGTGTGTGTTTTTTTTGTTTTGTTTTTTTCCCCGTTTTGTTTTGGGGGGTCTTTGTTTCTCCGTGTTTCTTCTCCCGTCCGATGCACGGCCAGCGTCGACTTGTGAGGTGCGAGGAGGCAAGATCGCGGCGGCGCGCCTGGACCACGCCCAGCGCTCAGGCAGCTGGGCGCTGGACTCCAACCTTGCAGAGGCGCGGACGAAAGACAACCCCTACCTGGGGGGAAGGGGGGGTAGCTGGAGCTGGGATTGATTGCACTACTGCTTCCCCATTATATATGTGTGTACTGTTTTGCTACATGTTGTTTTGTTTGTTTGTTTGTTTGTGTGAATGTTTGTTGTGTGGGTGTTGTTTTGCTATTTGTTGCCTGTCGTTTTGTCTTGTTGGCTTTCGTTTGTGTTTGTCTGTCTATTTGATTGTTTGTTTGTTTCTTGCATTGATTGTGTAGGGTTGTTAGGTTGTTTTGTCGTTTCTTTCTCGTGTGTGTCTTTCTTTCTTTCGTTCTTTCTTTCTTTATTTCTTTCTTTCTTTCTTTCGAAACACAATATTTATTTATGTATTTCTGTCTGTTTGTCTTCCTTCCTTCCTTCCTTCCTTCCTTCCTTCCTTCCTTCCTTCCTTCCTTCCTTCCTTCCTTATTTGTTTTCTTTCTTAGTTCTTTCTTTCTTTCTTTCTTCCTTCCTTTATTCCTTATTTGTTTTCTTTCTTTAGTTATTCCTTTCTGTTTTCTTTCTTTCTTTCTTTCCTTCCTTCCTTTCTTCCTTATTTGTTTTCTTTCTTTAGTTATTCCTTTCTGTTTTCTTTCTTTCTTTCTTTCTTTCCTTCCTTCCTTCTTTCTTTCTTTCTTTCTTTCTTTCTTTCTTTCCTTCTTTCTTTCCTTCTTTCTTTCCTTCTTTGGTGTTGCTTGTTTGTTTCCTTGTTTGTTTCCTTGTTTGTTTGTTTTGGTTGTTTGTTGTGTTTTGTTATGTTTTGTTTGCTTGGTTGTTTGTTTGTTTGTTTGTTTGTTTGTTTGTTTGTTTGTTTGTTTTGCAGGTTCTCTCGTAAACATGGGCATACCGGATGGTCATATTAACCTGGGCAGTCTGGTGGTAATTCCCCATTTGAACGGGTTTTGTGGTTGTTGACGTCTCCAAGCATAGCGCAAAGGTCTGAAGGTATGTATGTATATTAGCCCGGGCAGATTGCAATTGAATAGCGTATTTTGTGTTCGCGCCTTGGGACGTTCATTCAGATTCTCGATTTACAGAACTAAATTGGTCGTGGAACTTCGATGAGGGCTATAGGAGGGAGTGGAGGGCTACCGCCTATTAAGCCTTAGGAGGGGTTTATGCTTGGCTTAGCCTGGGCTTATCCAGGGACGGGCCCCTTTTGCATAGCTTTAACGGGTAAGGCCACCATTTGCGGTATTTTTGGGCCCCCGCCCAGTTTGAGGAACCCAAACCGAAATGTGCCAAAATTCCAGTGGATTGTGTTTTCGGGGTAGTGGAAACCATCGTAGACTCACGGTGCTTGTCTCACCACATGGTTCCATGACGCCTGTAAGGCATCAGATGAGGAGGGCCGCAAGAAGGCTTCGGAGCGCAAGGACCGAGCTCCTTCGACCCAAGGCCAGCGGTTTCGAATAGGCCCAATGCATCTCAGTTACCAGTCCACCGCACAGAAAACTGGAATCACTGGGTCGCGCTGCGTTCCAGATTGAGGGTCAAGTTCGCTTGCCCCGAGCCGCGAAAAGACGCTCAATAGACAAGGGCAGAAGATTGGCAAGCGGTTTTCCGTTGGCTTTCCTTTCCCAGAGGCCACAGTTCTAGCCTTGTACCAGCGTTTTTGGAGCAACCCAGCTTAAGGAACGCCACAAGGAAACCGCCATTGTAAGTACTCCTTGCACACAAAACCAACATTTTCGTCTAAAAAGGCTTGTCAAAAGTCGAGACTGATCTGTGAAAGAACTGAACAGTTTCTTTGCAAACCTCCCATATCTTTCTCTTTGTTTGAACAGATCAGTAGAGGCAACCCCTGAAAGCGCCCTTTAGCAGCTAAAACAAAATGGCTGGACTTTCTGTAGCTGGGATCCACAGGGTTTGTTTGCCACTGTCCATATTGTAATCCTTCAGAGCCAAATTTGGGTCATTGCAACTTAATAGAAACTAGTGGTATACCAGGGCCCATGTCTACTACAAGCAATGCCCGCCCCATGACTCCCCTTGCCATGTATTTCCTGGTTGGTAAACAACCAATGTTTGATTTGCCCCAAAAGGAGACCAAAGGATATGGACATGTTTTTCAATAGGTTCAGACCCATTTAGCGCCCCCACAAGGACCCGGTGCAGCAGCAGCTCGACGTGCGCTTCCCCGAGCAAAAGCGCTCTTCCGAAGGCCGACCTCGGCTCGAGACACCGACCCGACAGGGGCATGGTGTGCCGCGCATCGGAATCACACGAAACGCACGTGAACCAGGATCAAGTCCACGCCAGGCACCAGTTGGGGTGGATTAACTCCCATGAATACTGGGATGAACCATCTACCAACTGGTGTTTGACCATCCACATGCAGGCTGCAAACTTGGGAGCCAGGGGAGCAATAGGATGTCCCCTAGGAGTTTGGTCCTGCTGGGGATTTGGGCGGTTGGGCCGAAAAAGGCTTGAACAGCAGTTGATGTTTGGATCCCCAAAGTGGCGTTGTTGTCCAAACAAGATGTCAGTTTATCACATGTAGGGAAGCCTTGGGTTTTGTCAGTGCACGTTTCTCGTTCATGAAGACCCTGATTATTCTACCTAGCAGATTCATAGGGTCCCCTATTATTGTATCAGACAATGAGGTTGAATCCCATTTGGACGAAGCCTGGGAGGCTTGGAGCCAAAACGCACATGTGGCTCATCCCTTTGTCACAAGGCTCCAACTCTGTTTCCTGCGGTGTCCTTCCCCCTTTTGGTGGTGTGAATCATCATACTTTTTGCTCAAGGCGAATTAACTTGCAGAGCTTCCTTTAGGGATTCTTTGGGATATGTATGCATATATGCCGCGCATGCATACGCACGTACACACTTATGCTCCTATATTCCTGGGAATATATTACGGAGATACATAAGTGCTTATATATATACATGAAATAAGTTATGTATCATGAATCATCATAATTAAGTGTGTATGTATAATATATTACTTTGTGGTTGCTAATGTCTCTGACAAGTTTCCTTTGAACACAAAGCTTACAGGATTTACATATTGGGCACACTTTCAATGAAAGTCAGCACCTTTTGTGGCAGGTGAGAATCAATTAATGCCTGTCAGCAGGGAATGGACAATTCATTTGGTGAGTTTTCTGGCGTGATGTTGACCACGGGTGAAACCTAAAAAGCATGGGCACGATGACTTAAACAACATTTGTGTCATCTAGATGAACCCTGAAGCCCTAAAACCTATAAACCCTGAACCCCAGACCCCCTCAGAGCCGAAGCCCCGCAGCAGCTTTGCACATTTCAGCGTTTCCTGAAGCCTCAGGCGCGGAGGAGGTGGCGGAGCTATTGAGGCAGCGGCTCCGCTGCAGGGTGGAGTCCAAGAAGGCCGGGCCTGTGATATCTGGGGTCTCCGTTTACCGATGTTAGCGAAATGTAGCCATTGTAACCCGGCTCAGAAGTCGGTTTCTTTTGGTGTACCCCAGGTGAGGGCCAAGTTTGGGTGAGGGTTTTGGTGGTTTTAAGCATCACCTGTTGGGCCAATGTAAAGTGAGTTTTTTGTCTTGGCTGGTAATGTTTGGAAAGGAAATCTAGGGAGCTTTGCCAAAATAGGGGAAATGGCAACATTGTGGCTATCCCCTTTGGCTTTCCGTTAAACCAACTTGAGAAAGGAGGTACCCTCAATAAGACCAGCCCATTCGGCTGCAACTCAACAATAGGGCAGCTTCCAGTTTGTGGAAAGCACAAGGCAACATCCGCAGTCGCACCCACGTCACGTGCTGTCCATGTTTGGTAACCACGTTATCCCCCGGAGCAGCCAGGGCTTGTCCTTTGGCTGCACGTGATCTTCATGTTTGTTTCAATCCTTGGGCTTTGCCCTCGATAGGACCAGATAGAAGCCAATTCCAGCCACGGCCTGGATCTGCAGAAGATGCCGCTCTGCTTGTTGGGGGAATTAGGTTTTCGCTGGGTTTTGTCAAGACCACTATCCAAGGAACTTCATTGTCACCGTTCTAGGACAGCCACATTGTGGATGTTTGCTGAAGGGGACGCCTCCAAAGGCTGGGATTGCATGTGTTTGTCGGCAAGGTCAAAAATCCATCAGGAGGATCCCTAGATTTCGGCAACTGCCAAATATCAAGGCAAGAGGGTCATGGATTTTGCCAAATCGCTGACCCATCCTATTTGAACTGGTTCATTGTAAGATATGTCCATTCCTGTCGTGGATTCTCTGGAAAGCAACCAAACTTCACACTCGGACAGATTGCGGTGGAATATGTTTTCCATCTTGCAGTTCTTTCCGGGGCTGTGCTAGCCCCGCATTTACAAGGGACCCGCTCATATCATGCATGTGTCCACTATTTGGTGTCAAATCGCATTGCAACCGACATGCAGCCGGAGCAGGTAGTCATCTTGGGGAAGCCAGTAAGTTTGTCCATGGCTCACAATGCAGGATCTGGATTAACACATCAGAATGTCAATCATTTAGAGGAAAACCAAGAAGAACATGCACTGTTTGGCTGGGTTATCGGTTTTGACAGAACCAGCTTGTCATTGCCTAGAGCGGCCTTCGTTACCTGAACGTCTGCCCTGAGTCCAAACCAAGGGTCATCACCAAAATACGGTAAACGTACACTTTTCATGCTTTGAGTATTTTTCCCAAAACCGAGCTGATCGGTCCTCCAAGCTGATTGTCAATGACAACAGTTCTTGCACTGCTTCGGGTGGCACTCTTGTCCTAATCGCTGTCCAAGGAGCGACAGATTGACGGCACCATCCTTATCATTTGATTGGCACGCGCCAGACTCGGATGAGGACTGCGGGAGTTTAGGCGAAGTGCGGGTAGGAGATCGCTGGAACCGCTTAGGTTGGATTCTTCCAAAGAGCCAATGGCCGCTCGCAATTTTCGATGGGCGTCCCAATGCCATGTGCAGCGATCCAGAGAATTGCCGGCACACACGTGATCCTTTTAAAAAGGGCTCGCGTCATAGCTACTTCCCCCAGACCCTCACATCGTATACACCTGGAATCTGTCCGACCTCTCTCTAAGAAACCGGCTACAGGAAATGGAGGGCTATTTATTTTTGGATGTTTCCCGTTATTATTTAGTTTTTTTTTCCTGGATTTTGCCTTATCTGGCTTCTTAGCTTCTTGGCTTTTGGCCTTTGTCTTCTTGGAGTCGGGGCTTTTTGGCTTTTGGCTCGTGGCTTTTTGGTTTCTTGGCTTTTGGTTTCTTGGCTTTTGGCTTTTTGGCTTTACTTTTTGTGGCCTTTGTGTCTTCCGCATCCTCAGCATCACCAGTAACACCCCGCCTTTTGGCTTTTTTGATTTTTGTCTGGTGGCTTCTTACCTCCCATGTTTCTGTAGATGGGGTGGGCTGCCCCCGCTTCTTTGTGGGCCCCACCCTAAACTCACGTTTTGGCCCAAAACCACCCTAAACCACCACGAAACCCACCCTAAACCACCACTAAAACTAGAACCAACCTTCAAACCAAACCCGCCTATAAGCCAACCCTAAAGAAACCGTAGTAAAGTAACCTTAAACCAGCAAGACTCCCTAAAGAAAACCCTAAACAAACCAGCAAGAGACTATCCCTCAACCAACTCTAAACCTACAGTACCCTTAAACCAACCCGAAACCCTCCCTAACCCCACCCAAACCAACCCTAAGTCCGCACGAAGTTTGTATTGTTCTGTATTGATGCTGGTTTAGAGTGGGTTTGTATTATACGATCAGCACTAAACCAGCACAAAACCATTGCTAATAAGCCCACCTCAAACCACCCCCACTAAGCAAACCCTATAGCTCCCGAAAGCAACCCCAAAACCAATCCCTAACCCCCCGCACACCAACACTAAACCCAAACTAAACCCGCTCTAAACCCACTCTTAACAAACCCAAAGCAAGCACGACACCAACCGCCCCCTACCCCCCGAAACAAACCAAGCCAGCACTAACCAGCCCACCTAAACACAACCACAGCCTAAACCAACTCTAAACTCACCCCCAAGCCAGCCCCTAAACCCCTGAACCAACCCCAAGAAGCCCACCCTAAACCAGCACTAAACCATCCCAGTACCTAAAGCGCAGCCACCCCCAAACTTGCCCTAAACAAGCCTGGAACCCACCATGAATCAACCCTAGCCAACCTAAACCCACCCTAAACCCAGCCTAACAAATCCAACCCGTGATGCTGAGGATGTTGAAAAGGATGCTGCCGAGTTAAAACGATGCCGGGGATGTTGACAGCGCTGGTGCAAAATGAGTCAAACCACAGCAGAACCAAGGGAGATCGCACCTGCCAGTTCCAAGACAGAAAAGCCAGGAAAAAATCCCAAAACAAAACGGGGAAAACTCCCAATAATCGGGACCCACTGGAAATATACAGGAAGTCAGTCAGTTACATTTCAAATGCCTGGTTTCTTTGACTCTCAAACTCTAAGACACCCTCAGCGTGCAAGCACCTTCTAGCAAGGTACTTTGAGCTGGAACACTATCCTCACAGGGTAAGGGACACTTCGCAGGGGTCCACAAAAGAGTTAAGTGACAGGTGTTCGTGTTCGCCTTTGGAGGAATCCACCATCCTGTGTTCAAGTCAACCTTGGCGTCATCGGAAAACGGAACACTGCTCTGGGGTATATGACCTCGCGCGCCGTTCCTGCGCTGGCTCTCCCGGTTGACCGATATCCAGGAGGATAGCTCCAAGGGCATCCTGCAGGCAGGGTGTCAGCAGAGGGCATGGGGAAATCTGCCCCAAGAAGTTCTGTTTTTTCACAAAAGGAAACCACGCGAAAAGTCATTGCTTCTTCTTGCAAACCCTTGATTTCGATTGACCTTGTGGCTGCGGATGAGTATTGTTTTAGACCCAGCAATCCTCGAACTCCACTAAGAAGGGACCCGCTTTAGGTGGTGGAGTTGTTCAATCAGGGGTCCGCGTCATTGCCCAAAAGGACACTTGTGTTTGTTTTACTCTAGGTGCACCATACTTCGATCTGGCATATCTGAAGCACATGTTAGAGGTCCTGACCTCCATCAAAAGCCGTTAAGGAACCAACGGCGTGGCGATTTTGCGATCCCCCTGGGTCGTTTTGTAGGTGGAGCTGCCCCCGAGCGCCCAGAGCTCGGAGGGCCGCCGTGCGCTGCTGCGGGAGGAGATCCGGAGCCGGGGCCTTTGGGCGAATCGACGCGAGGCGCTCACGTTGCTCGCTCGGCCACCCCCTCCGCAAGACCTATCAACGTCTAAGACATATATATATATATATAATACAGTCCACCGCCCTTGTTTTTGTTAAAGCACGGAAGGGGCTTAAGGGGCGATGTTTACCAGTGTAGAGGGGGCTGCATATCCACTAATGGTTTGGCGGGAGTGGAATACAATTTGCTTCCACGACAGGTGGGCAAGTCATGTCGAGTTCGCAGATTGGGGGGGTAAAATGAGCTCATCCATGATGCAGGTGCTTTACCGACGGGCATCCCTTATTTCCACATTGACATGTGAACCATAGTAGTAAGTTGCCCAGGTAGAAGGGCAGCTGCTTCTTTGTTTCTGAACAGTCATCGAGCTCGTGCATGCTTTAAGGATCCGTCTCCTTCAAGCAGGCGAAGGAGTTGTCCAAGGCAGGGTGGAGTCGACACACCGGCTTCTCCATTTGGCTTCGTATCAGAACATGAAACCTACAATATCCATTCGTACACAAATCCCAATGTATATGGTCTTCGAGGAGAGAAAGCATGGCCCACAAATAAATCACAGTGCTCCAAGTAGCTGAACAAGGCAACCCCATTCACTGAATCAAATCAAAGCAGCCGCACATGTCTCCAAACACATCTGGCCACATTGCCAAACAACACATGAAGCTTTTGTTGGGGAGTGTGCGAAGGAAAGGGCTCATTTTCATATGACAGGCTCATGATGGGGGCTATCAAAAGGCAGAAGGCATCCCCTACGGACCTCGCCCCAACCATTTTGTATTTCCCCATTGAAATTGATTCATAGCCCGCAGACAGGAACTGGTCGCGAGGCTAAGCTGTGCACAAGGCTGTGCTCCAAAACCACATGCCGCAGGCAGATTCATGCGCAATGGTGGGCAAACATAATGCTTGATGATACCTTCGACATGAGCTTGCCGTGACAACCCATGGTTCAATACTGCGATCGATGCGTGGCCCCTCTCATCAGGGGGTGGTTCCCTTTTCGACTACGTATTTGCCATATTGCAAACATGTTTGTTCCCCGAAAAGTGTATATAGTTTTTCTCTCGAAGGCATGTACACCTGTTCCAATCATCCAACAGCTTGCTGTTTTCGTTGTTTTCCGAGATGAATCCAAAACAAAATGACACGGTCACTGTGTATGCTTTTCTTCAGAACCCCTGTTTGGCACCCAGAGCACCTGTCCCAGCCCAAGCTTTGGTCTCAGCGGCAGGGCCGCAGCACCTCGTCGTTCTCCGCCGCAGAGCTCTCTGCCCCAGACGTGGTGGATGTGCGCGCGGCGGGGCATCCCAGCGCGATTCGAGAAGGGCAGGGTTCAGGCACCTCTGCAAACAGTCAGACGGTGCTGAGTAGTTACTTGAGTAGTTTGGGTGACGTAGATTCACCCACACACGGACCTGCTTGAACCCATGAAGTCAGGTTGAAGCATGCTTTAATACCCGGCGCTGATGAAAAATTGATTATTGATCTCGTGATTCATAGTCCTGCAGCTAGGCAAGACATACAAATATTTGGAGTCCTGCAGGTCTTCAGCAATGATTACTGCCCAAGTTTGCTGAATATGTCCGGCGCGTGAATTTGCTCATCGCAGCAATAATCCAAGCACATGTTGTTTTTCTGCTCGCCTGTTGACGGCCAGGCAAACTACTGACACTTGACGGAGACACGTTGCAGAGTTCTTGGAATGGGGGAAGACCCCCCAACCCCCCACACTGGATGGCTTCCCCCGCGGCTTCCCTCAAAGAGACCTCTCAAAAAGTCACCCGTGAGGGCTTCCGAAGTTCTTTCCGCCAACTGTTCAGCTCCAGGCGGCCACGCCGACCAAAGCCAAGAAGCGACGAAAGCATCGCCCGGGGCTTTGCAGGTCGCATCTGCCTAATGGCTTCCCTCAATGTATTTGTGCCCCACCACGGACCACATGTTAGGATCAGGGATCTTTCTATGTCGAGCAAATTCGAGCAACCCAGGATGCTTCCAAGGGGCGAATCCTGACTGGCAAGATAGGTGCTCATGCTTCCCGACCCATGCTCTTCGCTTGAGGGAGGAAATCGTGTTAAATGGTCCGGGGCCCATTTATCCATGAACCACGCCGAGGAGCAGCTTGGCCTAAAGCGCCTGAAGGACACGAAGTGCAATTGGCAAGGGGTTGCAAGTTGCTAGCTACAGTGAGCTTTGGAATACACCTCGACGCACTTGTGTGATTAGTCCGGGTTACAACCCGAGCATCCTTGCCTGAGTTTCAGAAGCGACCACGGAGCCCGAGCCGAATCCGAGTGCAGCACCGGAGGAGGACTGCCTTCGTTTCGCAAGCTCCGAAGTTTCCCACCAAACCAGGGAACTCGCTGGATTTCAACCACAACCACAAGACTCATGAAATGTCAACAACCAGATGGGTTCTCAGTTGAATCTCAGGACTCGCAGCCGCGAGGCCAACAGCCTGGGCCGTGGTTGTTGGGTCCGTTTTGATTGGATAACTTTTTCGGATGTCTTGAATTGAAGCAACGGGGATCCAATATATGAATAATATCATGGATGTTGGTGGGTTCTCCGGTTTTGAGACAAGCCCTGTTCGTGTGAGCACTGACCACATGAAGGGTTGTGTGCCAGTCATCCTCCTTCAGATTACATGTCAGTTGGAGGGAGGATAGATGCTATGTTGGAAGCCTAGAAGTGTCCAGCCAGTGATCTTCCCTCTGAGCAGTGGCAATCGTCTGTTTAGGCAGTCTATTTGAAAGTCATCCACTGTCGCCATTGCCAAGCGGAAATCTCTGGTTCTGCCATCTGTGCCGTGGTTAAGTGACCTGCTTACTTGGGTGGTACGGCTGGGCATTGACCCCATTGGGATGTTAGCACAGGATGACTAGTCCGTTTGCATTCCTTCACTCCCATGCTGTTCAATGAGGAAACGAGTCTACATGTGCCGAAAGCGCATGGTTCTTTGGGTTTGTTTGCTCTGGGAAGATTGTCCACCATATCATCATGTCTCTAGGGATCTATGACCATGAATCACTGGCAATTTCGGCATGGTGCGTGTGGGAGCCCCTTTTTAGGGGTCCACCACTTTACATCAACACCGATGGACACACCAAACATGCTCATTGCATGTGGCCATGAACAGCAGCAATGTTTTCCACTGGTGCGTGCATCACCCAAAGGCTGTTGCACTGCAGAATCTCGACCAGCGCTCTAACACTGTTACAGTCACTGTACAACACAACAACCCCTGGTGACATGGCACTGTGATGCACTAGGCATTCCAAAGCACCTTTGTCATTTGCTTGTTTGAATTCAAGTAGCGTAGTTATTCTTTGTTGCAGGGAGCCAGAGCCCAAACCAGAGTAAAGACTTGGACATATGCTGCAACAAGGAAGAGCTAGGCTGAAACATGGCCCTCGCCAGTTCTGAGCTCTTCCTTTAGGCCCTTACTTGCCGCAGGCTTCCTTTCGCCGACGCAAATGAAAACCAAGGTCAACCATGTTTCTCTTGCTAGCCATCTACGTTACAATGCAATTGCCGAAGCCAATGGCCCGTGGCATGACCTGGCAGCAAGGTTTCCCTCCAACAAGCGCAGCAACAGCATTTGTCGCGGACGGCTGCAGGTGCTCCTGCAGAATTATGTGGCGCGGAATGTACCCCGTAGCAAAGTGGTAGGTTGGTGCAAAAGCAGTTTGTTTGTGGATGTGTAAGGAACCCTGCCTAGATAAGCCATTGTCTTTGTTTTCGCCTGGGCCACTTCCTGCGCTCTATCCAAATCTTGCGCCAGATGCAGACAAGACGGAGGTGTCAGCGCCACCCGCTGAAGCTGCAACGCCAGGCCGGCATTGAAGCTTCGCTGCAACCGCATCTTGTTGCCTTTGCCCGATGCCAGGGTTGAGCATAGTCCCTGGGAGTGGTCAAGCTTGCCGTTGAATCCAGAGGTAGTTGATGGAGAGCTTGGTAAGGAAATTGATGTCAGCTGACGACTGAGAACAGAGTATGCAGAATGTCTGTGCGCATCACTCGGCGTTAAACACCTTGTTGCGAGTTCAACATGAGGGAACCATGGTCACTGAGCGTATGTCAAGATCCCCCCCTCTGGTTTGACTTCAAGAAGGGACACCGGCAGCTATGTTTATAGCGTGTGTGCAGCGAGTCTGGAAGCTTTGCAGGCACCTCTGCCATCACCTCTGTCACTTCTGTCACCTCCATCACCTCTGTCGCCTCCGTCACTTCCGCCGCCTCAACAGCGGCCTCTGTGGCTTCTGTAGCCGCATCCACAAAGGCGGGACGGATGGGGCGATGATCCACACTTCACTGAAAAGCTGTGTGTAGGTTTTCGGTAGTTTGTATTTTTTGATATTTTTTGGTTAGTTGTGAGGGAAAGCAAGGGGAAGCGCCGGGAGCTTGCAGGGAACTGCGGGCAAATCAATTTGTTTCTTTAATGGAGCATTTTGACAAACTTGAGCGCGCGCTGAAGAGAACAGCGTACCATTGCCACCGTACAGGGTTGGATGATGAGCGGCTGATCTGCCAACAAAGTGCCGGCATAGCAAGAGACTTATTTCGATCGGCTGGGTCGTTGCAGGTGTAGCAGGTTATTCTTCGTTGCGCACTCTTTCAGACTTGTCATGAGCATATCGCTTAGCAGGCTTGGTTTGAGTCCTGCGAACTCTATCAACACCTGGCCTTTTTTTTCCGCTGATTGGGACTCCCTCAGCGCAACAACGAGAGTACGGTTGGAGCATTGCGTTGGAGTGATGTTGGAAGACATCCTCAAGGTTGAAGCTCTTGGACATGGACCTTTGAAATCTGGAATCCGCTGCATTGAAGCTGGTTCCAAGGGGGCAAAAGGGCAAGCCTTTTTGCAGGACAGTTTGCCTTGGAATCGCAGGTGGATGTCACAATTTCAGATGCACCAGGCCTGGCGTTTTGCTTGGAGCTCTGTTCGGGGGCTTCCCGGAAAGAACAAACAAACACGAGGGCACTCACGGTCGTGCACATCGCGCGTTGCTTTGCGCCGCCTTGAAAGCGGGTCAGAGGCCGCCAACTGAATCAAATGTTGGTGACCCGCTGACCGACCCTCCGACCCCCAGACCATTCAGAGGTGCCTCTGGAGTGAACCCGAGCATAAGAACACACGTTTAGTCGAGTTTCGTGCCTTTCCTGTGACAGGAGTCATGTGTGAGTGTGTTGGCTAAGCAAGTTGAGCTGCACGTGAAGGTTTTCAGCTTCAGCTAGCACCGCTGCAAAGAAACGCGTGCTTGCACAAGTTGTGTGCTCCCTTTATCTTTGGAGAGTTCGTCAAGCTGTTCAAAATCAGAGCAACATAAAACTGGTTGCCGTAGCGTTTGCTTTTGTTTTCCATGCGGGGAGGCCTTTCCCATATGATATCCGTGCTTCCTGGTATGTTCCACGGCCGGCAAGGGGTTTTCACCAGGGTTGGGTAAGATGCGCCCCAAGTCCCCTTCAACGTGAAGCCGGCAGGAGGTTTCTTAAACCAAGTGGTTTGAGCATGTCAAGGGGCAATATCAGCAACTCAATAATTGCTAGTTGCGTACTTCCATACATGGCTAATATCATAGGACCCACTAAGTAACCTCTTGGATTGATACCCTCTTTGCTGGATGCCTCCTTGTAGCTGGACGCGTTAGACTTGTGAAGGTGCTGCATAAAGCCAAATACGTAGAACCTTTACAGCGCCAATTCGGGCCTCCAAGGATCTATTTAGAACCCCGCCCGCTGCCTGCAGCACGTTCACTCCTGTGCTTCCCTTCAGGGAATCATCTGAATACAAAACACGCTTTTCAAGATTCAACTTGGTGATAAAGCAACCCTGCCAGAGTGACCGAAGGCCCAAACACCACGTGGATTTGGGCAGTGATCGTCACCAAAGGCTTTGCAACTCTTCATAGAACGGCACTTTTTGAAACTCTTGGGAACCAGAAACAACAAACAGTCCTTAGCTGGTCTTTGGGTGAGCTCAACCCAATTTCCATCAACTCCGCTAGGCCTAGCGGCGGCTTCCCAAAGTGCAGGACATGCACTGGGCGTCTCAAGATCGTGTTCTCAAAGTAGGGAACCTCTAAAATCCTTTGGGTTATCCTTTAAAACCATCCAGAAGGCACTTTTTGGAGACGCCCCCCATAGAAAGAAGCAGGGTCTTGCTGGATGGTACCTTGTGTGATTGTTTCAAATGGAAGCCAAAGGGTAAGTCACCATGTTGGGGTTGCCTTGATCAAAGCTCCCTTGAGCTTGAGGGTACTTGGGATGTCATAGGCCTCCGGAATTTCGACAACCATAAGGATTCCTATAAGAAGGGCACTTGGGATGGGCCTCTTAGGTTTTATGGAAAACCATGGGTTTCTATAGGGAAGCATGACCATGGCCTACAGAGTTTTTACATATTGGCCCGGCCCATCTTTTAGCCAGCCAACCACCGCCATGCGACTCGGTCAGGACCCGACAGAAATAAGGGTTAGCATGAATTAGCTGTCTTCTTGTTTTGTGGCTTTAGACATGCCGCTTGGGGCCATGGTGATTTCCGTAGTTTGTTGAATCGTGCCATGTTTCAGGTAATCATTCAACAACCCTTGCAATGACTTAGCCAGCGGACAATAGTGCAGTGTATTCAGGGCTTCAGCGGTGTGTAATAGTTTGAATTCACCCAGGGCGTGTGCAAGCTGACGAACACGATTTGGCGGGCCGGTGTATAGCTTCGCTTTTTGAAAATAGAGACCTCCTTCAGCTGTACAGCCGGTGGTGACTTTCTGCTCTTTCAGCCCCTATTCTTGTCATTGACAATTGGGCCCAAGACTGGCGAGGCATGGCTATGCAAGAGTTAGACACCCCGTATCAGTAGGGTACTCCGTACGCTGGCTGCTGCCGCCAGCCCACCCCCGCGTCCATACCTTGAGGAGACTTCCCTGAGATCAGCCCCACCCTGCCCTTCGAGATAGGCCGGGCCTGGGAAGACTCGTTTTTTTGGTCTGGGGTTGGTTGCAAAATGTTTTCGCGGTCTCGTTTTGCCCCCTCCCCCCCTTGTTTCTGCAAACGGCGGGCTGTGACGTTGAAACAATCAGTCTCTTGGCCCCCCAGTTAGGAAGCCAGGGCTACAATGGGGTTGTTCTATCAATAAATCAACAGTGGTGCAAATTAAGCATGTTTAAACAAGATAGTGGCCCAACCTTGTTGATGCTGGCCTCCACTTCCTCCCATTCGAAAGATCCAGAAACCACTGGCGCAAAGCTGAAACAGTTCTTTTTGCCCCGGGCTCGTTCCAAGTTGGGCCTGAATGGGAAGGTCGAACTGTCCAAACTTACAAGCTATTTCAGAAGCAGTTGACATTGTTGGGAGGGTCGTTTTCTTCACTGCACATCATGATCCAAATGCAGCCTAAAAGCCACAAGCGCGAGGAATCGCAATTCAATCAACACCACTTGTGCCACCTGCCAAGTTTGTTGGAGGGTTGGTAGAGGCGAATGCAATATGTGTGTTCATCAGACGAAGTGTGCATGTGGAACATCCTTTCGCAGGGAACCTATTTTGGTCTGGCGTCCTTGGGTCTTCTCAGCAGACCCGCGTTTTGTCCCGCGTTCCCAAAATTGTAGTACTTGGCAACTTATTTCTTAGAAGTAAGCGGTAGTTCATGCTTGATTAACCCTCGGTGCTGAGTCGAAAGACAAGCAAGGGCAATTTCCGTCAGCTGTTTGATTGGGGATGTTGTGGCACATTTGTCATGATATATCCCATGGCGGACACCGTGACCCAGTTCAATCATGGCATGGAACAGCAGCAGCTGTTGCTGGGCAATTTGGGAACTGGCAGGAGCATGTGCTTGAACTCGCTCTCAGGTGCATTTGTCATGGTTGCCCTGGAACTGTTGCTAGCCGAACACGCATGGCCCTGTGTGTGTGTGTGTTCATATCGGCAATTGGATGGTGTGGTCAAGGAGTAACAGCATCCGCAACAGAATCCATCGCAATGTTCGTGGCCTGGCAATTCATACGGTCTGATCATTACTTGACCGTCAGCATGCTTCTGTTGGAATTGCCCGAAGCACGGACCGTTCAATCCCCGAACCCCCTTGTGGGATGCTAGAACACCTAGGTTTGTCTTCAAATGGCAGAACCCTTTTGGACCCTCAGGACTCACAAGCATGGTCCCTGCAAGCATACACTCGGGCCCAGTCCAAACATCACCAGTAGTAAAGTTGATTTTTGGAGGTATCCTTTCACGAACCCTGAAATAGGCACAAATAAACAAGCTTTCTCACGTGAAAGGGTCCTTGTTTCTGTGCCTTGCCGCCAGATGCGGAAGAGTGCCTGGGATGCAGTGGATGCTGTGGGATGATATGTAGTCTAATACTGCAAGTGGCGGGAACCTTGGCTCCTTCAATTGAGTGGCGAAATACGGCTTCTCCACTAACCAGCAAACCCTTCAACCGGTTGCAGAGTGTCAAATGCCAATCGAGAAGCAATCTGCGGCTGGTAGCCCTTATTGCCAGTCAGCACCACTGCTTGAATTTGCGCAGCAAAGAATCCATGACGCTGCGTCTGAAGCTCAGCTAGATGCATTTGGGCAGAAGTCCAAAAGCGGTTCCCTATGTTCCACTTAACCATTTCAGGCAAGCTAGTAGAAAGCACGTCGCTGTTTGTTCACAAGCATTTGGCGCCTCCCATAAATTGCGCTGATGTCTAAAAGGAAGCAAGGAGGGCACACTGTGCACACTGGCCATGTTTGTTTGTTTGTGTGTATGTTTGGTAAGGATGTTTGTTAGAGAGTGGACAAATAGGGAAACTAGATGAGTTGGATGAATGAGGAATATGAGAATTACATAGTGCCACTGCAGCGGTAGTGGACGGTTTTCAAAAAGTGTTTGTTTTGCCCGGCAAAGCATTCTTGCCGAGCTATTTCTGGACGATGCCCGTCACACGGAAGCCCGGCGCCGCATTGACAAGCTCAAAACGCGCTGAGGCTCAAGAAGGCTCCAAGCAATGCAGGCAGGGTGAAAGCTCTGCACGCGGCTTTTGCTTTCGTGGAGCCATGGGCTGTGGAACCTTGTTTGCTTCAAGTTGCCAGCTTCTGTTTAGTGTTTCTTAAGTTGTTGTTTTTTTTGTTGCCTACTTCTGCTTCTTCTACTTCCTCTGCTTTTTTGCGCATGCTTTGACTCGGAGACCGGTGTTGGAGTGTCAAACTTGGAGGCTTTGGCAACGTCAAGCTCCGAAGACCCACTTGCGGCGCCAAAGCAAACTTTGCCGCAGAGCTGCAAAAGCGTCTGACCATTGACAGCGTCCAGTGATGGCCATGGTTGTGGAAATCTGGGTTTTAGGGCCGTGTGCTGTGGTACGAAGGGATTGTTATCTTAAAATGGCAAAGTAGTCACAGGGATGGCCCACTTTGTATCCAGAAAGGGTTATTTCCCACAACCATTGTGATGGCTGCCTTGGATACAACTAGGCATTCTGCAAGTTGCATTCTTCAGAGACCTCTCAATATTTGGGCATGCGACGGCTAAACTTCCAATAGACTGGTTGAGTCAGAGTTTGCCTTGCGCCCAGAAACGGCTGATCCATGGCAGCGGACAATACTTGTTGATTTGTGCTGCTGTTGTTTGCATGTTCGTGATTCCACCTGCAATGTTTTCTTTGGTTGTGACAACCCCTGCTGACAGTGCATCGTCGAAAGATAGCTGTTGGACGCCGCACTTCTCTTTACCGGCCAATTATATAGAATCTTTAAACTCACCAAGTAGTATGGCAAGGATACCTAGAAGTTTGTACTCAACTAACTTGCAACTTGGAACACCAAGATGAACCTTTTTTTTAATGTTCATTTAGGCTTTTTGGCCGAAGTCTGTATCTCAGTTTGTTGCGAAGCCCGCCAGGCCCAGAAGGCGCGAGCCGGACCGAGTACCCATGTTGTATGCCGCTGTTCATTCCGGAAAAGCTGGGTTCAAGCAAGGATGTCCTGTCGAGCACAGTCCTCGCACGGGACCACAGGGCCAAAGGCACGGGCACGAGGCGCAGACCCACACGCGCACTTGGGCACGCGAGGGCACGGGCACACACACACACAGTGAGACATGGGGACGGGTGCACGGCACGTTCCATCGCTCTGGCCACAAGGCAACTAAGCAAGCTATCAAACATGTCTCATAGAAGTGGATGCTGGCTTTGGAGCTACTCAGCAGGGCCGTTAGCTTAATTTTCGCTGTTTTCAGGAGGGCGTCAAAGGAGGACACAACATTTCACTACAAATATCCAGAATGCTTCACGGAAGGTTTGCGTCTTTGGTGATGGTTGTTCTTTTGCATGAAGGAATTCGGTCCACGTTCACTGTGAATCTGTGGGAGTGGTCCAACGTCCTTCTCAAATGCATGGTTCATGCGCCTTCCGGGCAAGACCTTTGCACAATTGATTCCACTTCGAGCATGTGAGCACAGAGCCATCCTGAAACCCACTTTCCCCAGCTTCCCCAAAATCGCCTTCCCATTCTCAGTTGATGCTCAGCCCGCTTCCGAAGCACGCCAAATCTGTTTGAGACTGTGCACAAAAGGCAACGGCTGGCTATCCTCTCTTGAAATGTCCACTCGGTTTGCACCAATAGGTGCCGTTTGCGGCACCCTGTCGTTGTATGCCACGACACAAACGGGTGGTGTCCCACAACTTCTTTGGTTTCCGGCGGTTTCCCTGCTTCCGAACCCCTTTGGTGTTTTGGAGATCGGAGGCTTCCCAGACATCAGCCCCACCTTGCCCTTCGACATCGACGCCAGCGCGCTGCGGGAAATGTCGTCACAGGACGGGCAAGGCGGACGGTTCTACTTCCTGAGTTCAGAGGGCCTTGAGATACATTTCGGACAGCTAAAAGATCACCTTCTACAATGTGGGTATATTCTCATAATATATATATATACACGTGTATACACTGTACTCTATTACCTACATGGGGGATTGTCAAACTTCTGGCCCCGTTTTGGACACTGCCAGTGCAGCAAGGTGCCGGGTTTTCAACGGGGTTTCCAAACATGGCTCTAATTTTGGCAACTCCCCATGGAGATCAGCTTGAGGAACTGTATGAGGGGCTTTGGGATTTGTTGTTTCGCCCACCCAGATTCAAGGTGCTGTGACTTTTGGTTTACTGCGCCATAGGAGGCACCACAACCGGCGGAGCAAGCCGAGCAGCACCAGGTTCAGGCGCCGTTTGGAGCGTTGTCCGTTGAGCTATGATCCAAGGCCTCCAAAGAGAACAGATTTGAAGACTTTTCCCACCAGCTGGACAGAGGAGTGATTGCAGTAGACACATCTGATGTGCCTACCGCTATCACTCCCCTGTAATATGTTTATTGCAGAATTGTGCCAGTGGAATTCTGACATCTTATAGGGGTGGTATTGCATGTTTTTCAAGTCGATGCGTTCGAGCTTCAGCTTCGCCCTGCCTGGCTATAGCGGGGGTTGACTTTGACATTTTGCACGGCCCCTTGCGCAGGCCACCCCAAGCAGTGCCAAGGAGGTGCGACCTGATAGCTTGCGGTTTATGTGGGCAGGACAAGGGAATCATCCAAGCCGCCTTGTTTCCCTGGGGGGGTCACCCAAAGGAAGCCGGAAGCCGCAGTAAGTGATATCGTTTGTTCTTCCTTCTGGTGTGCTTCCGCAGGGCCAGTCGCTGGAAGGTGACGCCAGATGTACACACCAAGAGGTATCCGCATGATGGGAATGAAATTGCCTCATAAGCCAACCATACCCACATTGGTTGGCCCGCTTTATGGCTGTTTCTTTGACTGCTGACGGCCCAATGGCCATTGACCAACTTGCAGGGAGAAATGTGGTGCCTGGCTCAACTTGCAAGTCCAGCGCAATGATTAACGATCCCTCATTGTGAAGCATCCGGCTTTGACATTTCCGAGACACAGCTTTGGCAGGGTGCTGTACTAGTGGAAGCTGGAGACAAGATTGCAGTATACGGCAGCTTGTGATGAGGCCACTTCAAAAAGTCTATCGGCTTGCAGTTGTCCTTTTCCTGAAATGTTCTGGCTTGCTACTCGCGGTAGGACCTAGAAGTTCAATTTGATTTGCGTCAATGCAGACACCACACAAGACCAATCCTCGACTAACCCTCCGCTTCAAGGTTGATAGGGAACACCAACCCTTCGTCAGCCAAGCTGCTTGGCCAAGCAGAGCCTTTCATAGGTTCGTCAGTTGTCATTTTTCGCCCTAGGCACTCACCCAAATCTAGGTTCTTTGATTCTGCCAGCCCACTTGGGCATGGATTTGATTGCTGCTTATTTCATGATTGTGTCCCCTCTTTCCAACTTCTTTGCTCGTTTTAAGATGATCGTCCGAAAGCCTTACAGCTCCCAAAGCTCCCTGCGCACTTCCATGAGTGGAGAGAGGGTATCCACTTGCTATGTCCCATTTCACCTTCGGGAAGGCCGAGGTTGCCGAGACCGAGGCGGGCCGAGCAGTGAGCCTGGCCAAATCGTATCGAGACTCATTTTGGGGGAGTCAAGACGAGCACGCACATATCTATCTATACATATCTATATATATATACATGGTCCCGTGTTCCGTGTTGCTACCCCCCCCCCCCCCATATGGTGTGGTCCCCCAGGACCTCCGGCCCGAGACCCCGAGCCCCCGGATCCTGGCACCTACGGTCCGACCCCCTGAACTCGCACCCCGACACCCCGGCACCCCCACCCCCAGGACAAGCCAACCCGCAACCAACCATAAACCAACCCTAAACTAACCCTAAACCAACCCTAAATACACCCTATACCAAACCCTAAACCGTAGACCTCTAAACCTAAACCAACCCTAAATCAACATAAACCAACCCTAAACTAACCCTAAACCAACCCTAAACTAACCCCAAATACACCCTAAACCAATCCCTAAACAATAAACCCTAAACCTAAAAACCAACCCTAAACCAACCCTAAATACACCCTAAACCAAACCCTAAACCGTACACCTCTGAACCTAAACCAACCCTAAACCAACCCTAAATCAACATAAATCAACCTAAATCAACCCTGAACCAACCCTAAACTAACCCTAAATACACCCTAAATATACCCTAAACCAATTCTAAACCAACCCTAAACCACCACAACCCAACCACAGGACCACCACCACAGGGCGGGGGGGTACTTGCCTGACCCATGACCATTGGGGGGGGAGGGGGGGGGGCTGGCAACGCTGTACCATATATATTTATAATATGTAGATAAATAAATGAAAGTCCCTGACTCGATTGTGAATCGTGATTTGCCCAGGTGAGCTTGTGCGAGAAGGGAGATACCGGCTATGGACAACCCTGTTGGAAGGGTTTGTGTTTGTCCGCGGGCCACTAGGTAAGAGTCCCCAAGAGGGCTTGACCTTGTTGTTGATTGTTTTTGGTCTCGAGAGGAGTGACATGCTGCGTGCATGGGTGTGCGTCATGGGCCACCTCTCAGGAAGAGCTGGAGGAGGATGCGGAGGCCGGATTCAGTACGGACCAGCTCCGGCTGACACACTGGGTTGTTCAAAGTCATTCCTTTCTCCTGCAAGATTGTATGTAGTGTTTTCCTTGGTGTAGTGGTATTCCACGGCCGCTATTTTGGATAACCCAGACGAGTAAGCGATCGGTATGTGATGGCACAGCTGAGCAGCGGGTGCCCACTCTGCTGACATGTGGTGGTTTTAAGCATCCTTTTGTTTCAAGTCAGTCTGCTTCAATGGACTGATGTTTGAGCGGACATATAGGTAGTCCTGAGAGCAGCTGGGTATCCCTTTTTTTTTGTTTGCATGTCGACACTCACTTGTCAACATGACAGAGAACCAGCACGGAGTCAGCAACCGAAGGGTGCCACGGTTTGATACGCAGATGTATTCGGAGCATGCCGAGGTGCAATATGTTCATTGTTATCCATGCTCACGGTTTCAATAGCCCGCCAACTTTGGGATTTGAGAAGAAGGATTCCTGAAAAGAACTGCTTTCGGGAAACCACCTGGAGTTTCTAGCATCTTTTTTTTTTCTTGGAAAAAGGTCCAATCTCAAAATTGGGGAAACCGGATCTGGCAGGACCCGCGGCAGAAGCGTGAGCGTGCTTGGCTGCGGCACAAGCGACAGGCCATGGAGGCCGACGCGAACCCGCAGGATTGGAGGGCGAAAGCCCTTTGACCCCGTCCGCGGTTTTTGTCGTTTCCAATTCCAAGGTTCACGAAATTCACTAAATATGGACCAACCTTGGTTTCATAAATATGGTTTATGGTTGGGAGGACAAACCAAGGTTGGTTGCAGCCTGGAATCCTTTCGAAATGCAGAATCTAAGTGGGCTCCTAATCTTAACACACACACACACAATTCAGTCAAGTACTTAGGATCATCAGTGGGGCGAGCCGAGCGCAGCTTGATGACGAAGCGACGGCAGTCATTTGGAGAGCCTGTTAATTTTGAGATGCAGTCTGGCTGTGTCACAAACAATGCTCCCTCTGAATCAACATGATAGCAATCCACTGTTAGACATGAGTTGAAACCCTTCAACCATTCCACCGGCAAACAAATCATTCTGTCGTCCAAGAAACCAACGACAACCAACAAAATCCACTGCAACTAACCAACAAAACTTAGCAATCAACCCATCAACCAACGGCAGTTGGTCCTAAATCGAAGCTGCAAGCACCGCAGGCGGCGGCCACCCAGGAGGACCGGATTCGCCAAAGACTGAAGGCTCTGGCCAGACCTTCCGTGTCCTTTTGGTTCCTCTTTTTTTGGAAAGGGTTTTTTCCAGGCCATTGGGCCAAACATGAGGAGGTGTCAGAACTCGGACCTCCAGTGGAGGTTTCCCTTTCAACATGTCTTGGGAGTTGTCTCCAATGGCCGCCGGAGGTTTGGTGAACCAGGCGCAAGAGTTACGTCGGTTTCTTCGTGGGGTCCAAAGGTGCTCGCCCTTTTTGGAGGTCACGGGCCCTTGTTTGTGTGCAAGAACGGCGAAGACCCACAGCACTGAGCCAGCATCTTGAAAAGACCAGCTGGTTGATACAGTAATTAAGCTGGGTGGCAGATTGGGTGGCAGATTGGGTGGAGCTGGCTTGAACCGGCCCAAACCGGCATGAGTTGGGTTACTTGGGTTCCACTATCAATTATTGAATTGAACATGTTTGGGATGCATCACTTGCAGCCACCTTGCAACCTTCATGTGATTGCCTTGACGGGAGGACGACCTCTTTGCACCCCGTCCGAAGAAGCGGATCCGGCCGGGCCGCCCGGGCAAGCCGCGCGCACTCAGCTTAGTCCATTCTTTCAGACCTCAGTGCACATTTACCTGTACCAATATGCAGTGTTTGGGTATCCGTGTTTCTCTGGTGTTTAAAAACCGCTCACAGAAATTCGATCTGATCTTTTGGCGTACTGTCATCTAGACAAGCTCCTTGAGCAGCTGTCCAGACATATTGGACCGCTCCAAATAGGTTTCATTTTCAGGTGTTGACAGATTCTCATGTTTTGTGCATTTTGACACTCACCAAACCGATGCTCAGTCCAATGCCGCCACGCCACATTCTTCGACTAGCACCGGCAGCTTTCTGCCAACCACTTTCCGTGGCGGCAGCAGAAGCTACAGCAACACACTTTCCAGCATGCATAGGTCAAGGGCGAGTTATGCTATAATTCATAGGGCCTTGTACATCCAAACTGGTGAAGGATTTTGTCCATCCACTGCATGGCTGGATAAACGAATCAGGAGGCCATCCTTTGTTGTGGTCAGCGAACCAGAAAGCTAAAACGTCTTCGCCCAGGTCCATACTTATGGCCGGCATCGCTTGATGCGTGGAACCCAAGTGCAGAGGGCTCGCAGAAGCAGCTGCCAGCATGTGAGCTCATGTGGCCTCCCAGCTTTGACACGTACCCACTTGCAGCTTGCTATTGGTTTGGTTTGGCCCTTGAGCTTGTGCTAGACACATCATGACACATCCACTTCACCGCTCGGCTCAAATTGGAGCCTCTTGGAAGGCCGCGATGTCTCTCACGTGCCACGGACAAAGATTAATATTTTGTCAGGAGCAAACGGTGTCTTGTCTCACTAGGCGAGTCCCAGCACGATCATGCAGGATAAATCAGTGCATCATTGACTCCGAGCATGCAAACCACCACACGACTTATTGCCATACCCATAGAACTAGGATGCACATGCAATATCTATCCATGCATCATGCATCAAATGACTCGCCTCGACTCACATGTTGCATCAACCATATCAACCAATCATGAACATCAATTGACTCACCTCATGAAGCCAGGCGAATTTGACTCCTCGTTTGCACCGTCCCTCGGCCTCGCTGCCGTTCGGATGAATGGGCCGCGTCACCACCGTCGTGGGCTCGGTGGCCTCTGTCACCGGGGTGCAGGGCCGGGGCGCCAAACTGGACCGCCGCAAGATGTGCCGCAAGGTGCGGAGTGGGGGGTGGGATGGTGGCGGGTCCGGATGGGGCGGGGATGAACGGAAGGATCTGGGACTGAGGGGATATCCAGTTGATCAAAGGTGTCATAATATGTCTGAGGGTTTTTTGGAACGCAGTTGATTACTTACAGTGGATGAAGAGGGGAATTTCACAGATTAGAAGGGCTCACCATGTCTTGTTTTTTGGCGGCTTCAAGTATCACCTTGTGGGCCAATGTAAAGTGGGTTTTTTGGAGGGATGACATTTAAGAAGGGAAACGTGAGAGCTTTGTTGGGTGAGGGACTTGGGGCATCTGCACTGACGAGCCAAGCAACTGATGACTTTGGGTTTCAGCATGCTAGTTGGCAAATTATGGGCTGGACTCCAATCGGGAAATGAAACATCCGTCAAAAATACCTGACTTCATGGCGAACTCCAGAGATCATTGAAGATCTTCCCCCGCGGAATTAGCAGAGGTTGTCTCAGGCTTGCGCAGAGGCAAGTCAGAGCAGTTGACATCGCTCCTGCGCTTCCATGAATGAAGCAACATGCACACCGCAGGAACTCATTGAGAACTGACGTTTGAAATGGGCGGAACTTCTCTTCATTTGCCAATGTCACGGCGAGCTAACATGAGCGCTTGGAGATCCCTTATTTCACGCACTGAACTATTGAGGCGAGTGTAGATTCATGTTTCCTGTGGCGCCCTGCTCCCTAGCATGTTCTGTTCAGACAACACCCGGTGGTGGTGCTTCAACTGGCAAAGGTCAATAGTTCTTGAAGGGCAAGCAACTGGGATGTGCTCCTCTTGCCACCACTTGGAAATGGTTTGTGTGCCTTTGGTGGAGCAAGGCATGCATCAGTTACATTAGCCGCGGGGAATATTTGTCGTCCATATATGATACGGGATGGGCATCAACCCTTTGATCGGCAGGTTGGCCAGTGTGATACGTCAAAGTTGAATTGCAGAAACACATTCTGTTTCGTGATGTGCGAGTTTGCATACAACTGTCGCCAGTGAGGCTGCCTTTCCCTTCGCAGCGGGCATCTTGTCTGGCATTCTCTGCAGTACCCTGAAATTCATGCAGACTTATGTCGATGACGACAACTGGATCGAGGAGATTTGTGCCAACGTTGAACCCGGCACCACCACCGCCCGCCCCAGTGCTGTTTCTATGATGGTGATGCGGGCAACTCCTGTGGTCAGTTGCGAGCATGTGTGCTTGCTTGTGTGAACAGCGTTTGGAATGGACTGTTGATGGACAAAATCCTGCACTTGTGGACACGGACGAGCCCATGAATGGGTGGCTCGGGCGAGTCATTTGGGCAGCAAAGAATTGCACTTCCTGCAGGCATTCCAATGGGAACCCAGGACTACCACACCCCTGGTTGATAAACAGTGTCCCATGTCAGAGGGAATCCCCGAACACCCCACTCTAATAATCCACCTTGGCCGTCGCTGAATGATCCTGGGTCAACATCTTGGCGGAATACTTACTGCGGAAATGGTCTTCTGGCAGTCTCCTCTGATTGAACAGGGAAGACTCTTTCGGAGTGCGTCTGTGTGTATGTTTGTCCCTGTGTCTGTGCGTTTGTGCCTGCGTGTGTGTGGGGTGAAGCATGCACGCAGATTACAATGTAGAATTGGGCTAGTCCAATGTACTTGACAAACAAAGGCAACTTGCTTTGGGCTGGACCGAAATGCAAAGAGCTAGTCCATCGGGTTGGTTGCTGATTCATGAATTAACATCGCGGATTTTGCTTGTGTCAGGAGAACCTGGTGTTTGATAGCACCGCCTATGGCAGCTTCGGTACTTGCATGAGCTTCATGATCGTCTTCCGCACTGCTCAGTCGTACAGCCGGTACTGGGAGTCTTGTTTCTGTCATGAGATGGTTTAGCTTTTTGGGCCGGAACTTGCAGCTGCAGGCCCCATGCAGCCGGGTTGAGGTACACTCACGTCATCGCCTCATTCTCTAGAAAGTGTTTGTTCAGCCGGTGTTGCATGGGCTGGCAGGCCGCCCACAGGTGGATGGATACATGTGCTCAATTTAATTTTGACAAGCATCCTTGTGCAACTGTATGGTACAAGTTGTCTCTGGACGTCAACACACCTCCACAACGCTCCCCTTTTGCAGACCTGCATGTTGAGCAGTGGTCAAGGTTCTTCTGCCTAGGTTAGAAGAACGGTTTGTAAGGACCTCATAAAGTGACTCTTTCCCTGCAGTAGCGAAAGCTTGGAATTGTTTGACGCGGACGCGTGCTGCCTTTTGCTTCTCCCTTTCGGCATTGTTTCCTGTGTGACCTTCATTTATTGCATGCAGCATGCCTAAACGTTGCAGCTGATTTCTTACATATGTAATCCTGACCTATGCTGCATTCATAACGGCTGCTTCTTGCAGCCCCCCCAAAAGGTCGTTTGCATGCTTGCAGTCCTGCTCCCTTAGGCATTTCTTGCCGCAGAGCTCCCGACTATTTTTTCTTCTTGAGTTTGTTGTAGCAGGGGTGGAAAGGGGCATGATGTGAGTGGGGAAGATCTGATTTGCTTGCCAAAAAGGGCCTTTTGGGGGTACTGATTTATTGCAGCACGAAGGTTCTGAGATGCACATGTTGCACAATGTACGATCGATTCCAGCGCAGTTTTCAACTTGGGCTCAGGTTATGACATTTTTCTTTGACACCACAGTGTACAGTGAGTTTTGTGTCGCCCTTTTTCTTGCCTGACTGGCACTTGCGGTGCGGAGTTTTCTGCTTCTGCCTTAGGAGGGCATCGTGGCGGTCTATGAGATCATGGGATACTTGTTCAACGCCGCCAGCAACTGCTTGGCCTTCGCCAGAATCACCAAGGCTGAGGCTGCGGATTGGGGTGGATCGGAAGCCCCGGATGATCTATGGAGCCAAATTCCTGTAAACATCCGCCAACCTGGGCCGCCTCACCCGTGCTCACTTGTTGGAACGTGTCAATGTGAGTATGACAACCATGCTAGCAAGCATTTGGCCCGCCGAATGCAACGTTTTAGTGGTCGGTCTTATTGCACGTCAACGGCACAGACTATGCGCGAAGACTACTGGAAGAGTGCAAGACCAGCCTGAAGCCCCTACCTCAAAATGCCAGACCAGCCCCGGCACTTTAAACATTCCCTTAAGGGAGATTGCTCCTACAGTTGAGAGCCTTCTTTGCTTGTTTGTGATATTTCCTTGGTTTTTGGGGACTCCCTGACTTCAGGACACCTGAGCGCTGCAATGGCTACAAGACTCTTCAGGGCATTCCTCGTGCACGACACCTTCATGGTTTCCCTGAAAGAAAAGCAAGAATTCAGCAACCCATGCGTTTACTCTTGATCTCTGCGGTTGGACACTTTTGGCTTCCTAGATATGGCCATGGGGCAACTCATTCCGTGTGAAAGAGGGTCCAACCCCCAGAGATGCAGAGTTTAACATTTGGCTTTGTCTCCAAATGGGGGAACCTCCCCCCTAAAAAGAAGAAGCAAAAACGATGGCTTTCCTTTGCTTTCCATCTTTTCACCTGGAGGTTCCAGAGCCCCAAACGCTCTGATTTGCACAGGGGGGCTCGATGTCGATGGGGGCGTCACATCTCGCGCCAGGAGATGCAAGTCACCAACTTCAAGCGCCTCGTCGTGCGCCTCTTCAGCCTTCTCTTCTGCCTGGTACTGCGGGAGCTGGAAGGCAGCGAGGCAGGGTTGGTTGTGTATAGCGAATGTCAACGACCAGACGCTGGTCCCTTTAAAGGGTAGCCAGCAGGAGGTTGTTGATACGATGGTGATTTAAACATGATCAAAAGGAAAGCCCAACCCGGAAAGAGGGGTACTTGGTTTTCAGCTGGTGGGATTATTTTGTCCCTGTTGTTTGCCTAATCCTTCGCAAAACCGCAGTGTTTGACAATGCTGCCAGAAGGCTGCTTGAGCTCTCTCTGTCTCTCCCTCTCTCTCTATCTCTCTGTCTCTCTCCATATATATATATATATGGTGTCTGTATATATAGATACATGAGGAGTGACTGTTTTTGTTTTGTTTTACAGAAAGCTGCAGTAAAGGCTGGGCTCAAACATTGTTGGGTAACATACTGAATTAGGCGCAAAACGAGACAGGAGCACCTCAAAGACGAGGTAGGTCAAGCCATGACATATAGACAGTTGAGAAAGCGGGGTCAATGAGTCCAAACGGGGTTGGGAACACTCGACTCGACCATTCAGCTATGTAGCAAATAACTGGCGTAACTCATTTTGGATACATATATTCAAACTTTAGAGCCTCCGGCTCAGTCCGCCGACATTGTCCTCTCCCTTTTCTCCGTCTCCCTCGTGTGTTCTGTCGTCCTCTCTCCCTCCCTCTGCTCCCCATCCTCCCCATCCCCCCAAGCCTGTCTCTCCTCAATCTCCCTCTCTCTGTCTCTCTCTCTCTCTCTCTCTCTCTCTCTCTCTCTCTCGCTCTCTCTCTCTCTCGCTCTCTCTGTTTGTCTGTGTCTTTCTGTCTCCCTGTCTCCTTCCTGTCCACGCCCCTCCACAGAAAAAGGGTACCCTAACTCGAACCTCTCTACTCTCTCACTTTCTCGCTCTTTCTCTCTGTCTCTCTCTCTCTCTGTCTTTCTGTGTCTCTCTTTCTCAGTCTCTCTCTTTCTCTCTCTCTCTCTGTCTCTCTCTCTCTCTCTGTCTGTCTCTTTCTCCATTTCTCTGATTCTGGCTCTGGCTCTGTCTCTGTCTCTCTCTCTCTCTCTTTCTCACTCTCTGTGTCTCGCTCTCTCTCTCTCTCTCTCTCTCTCTCTCTCTCCCTCCTCTCTCTCTCTCTGCATTGCAGCGTCACGTCCCCCCTGAGTTGCCTCGATGTCCGGGCACTGCCCCTTCATGAACTGTCATCTCACTACTGGCTTTTTTGTTGATTTCCCCTCCATGTCCTTTTCACGTTTCCTATGATGTCCTGGTCATGTCCCTTTCATGCCGTTCAACTCCCCCTTCAGGTCCCTGACATTTTCTCGGTATGTCCGCTTCATTTTCCATGTATGTCCCGTTCTTTCGTTGCGAGTCATTTCCCTACATCTCCCGTCGTACCGATTGGTGTCCTTGTTCTTCGTTTCCCTCTCATTCCCCCTGCACTCCCCTTGTTTTCATTTCTGTCCCGTGCATGTCCCTTTCAGTTCCCCTTTGTTTCCCTTTCATTTCCCGCTGCTTTCCTGTCATGTCGACTTCCTATTTCCTCTCCTCATTTCCTTGCACTTCCTTGCATTTCGCGTTTTCGCAATTAGGACGTCCAAAAACACAGAGTTTTTCCAGATTTTCGGCAAAAGGAGGCAGGAACCCCAAACCAGCAAAGAGCCGGCAGGGGGAATCGAGCCTGGGACCCCTGTTTTGCGACACCGGCTCCCCGAAGACTACGTTTAGTGGAACGTCATCAAATTGCCGCCCCCCCCCCCCCACGTATCAGATGTCGGGCGGGGGGGCGGGGGGTAGGGGGGGCTTATCCTCTATCCTCTCTTAGGTGTCCGACACGCCGAGCAATGTCGGCGGATATTTATGCGTGCATACATGGCCACAAGGCCCCGGTAGAAGCCTGGTATTTAACCAAGTGCCGGTTTCTGTTCAACACAGCTTAGGCGTCTTGGACCCTCTACCTGGGATGTTGCATCCCATTAGATTCCACCATGACCTGTCCAAAGAAGCTGTCAGACATTGCCTAGGTTGCGACCCTCTAATCCGGGCTTTCTTTGAAGTCAGGTGTTTTGAGGCTGTTTTAAGAGCAAGACCAGAAGCAAACTAGGCCCCATTTTAGGGGGGGTCCATCATGTTGAGAAGAACGGACGATCCCAACTGCCAGCCAGCTGGCACTGGAGCATTTTGGGCTTAGCGTGTCGGCGGCCTTCGGATGCAGCGTCGGCCGTTCGGAGATCCATAGCAACCATCAGTATTTGGTCTCCGGTTTTTGAGGTACCCATTTTTGGGTGGTTGTAAAGGGAGGAACCCGTCATGTTGAGGGTTCCCATATCTTCCCATTTACTGCAATCGATGACATGGGGCACACTCACCTAAATGACAAAACACTAGGAAATGGGGGGAGGGTCTCACCAGGGTCTTCCGGAAAATGAAGTCGACGATGCATGCAAGGAAAGAGGGGAAAGATATGCAATGTCAGTGTTTGGATTGTACAAATGGATCGCTCCATTTGGCACCAATTGTTCGGTTTCTGTTGTGTAGCATCCACACAATAAGGGCTCCTAGCTGATGCAGTCCCGTGTCATCGCCGTAGATCTGCGCTGAGCTTTTAGAGCACAATCATGTTCATGACTTTTGCGTCTTCCACATCGCACATTTGTCTTTGAGATCTCACACGTTCATCACCCCTTCGCTCTTACAACGATACAATTCATGTAAAACCTCACCTTTTCAACCAGGCCACCTATTTCGCGGGTAATGTGCAGTGGATGACACTGAGCCAACTCACATCCCACTCCTGCTTCTGGGTGCTAGTTGGCCCCTTTAAAGGGCAGCACGCGGCCATTGACAGGTGTCGTCGGAGTCGGCCCTCAAGTTCCCAGTGCTGGATCCTCGGGGCATCGATCAGAAGACCCGCGCGCACTTGCTGAACTTCAAGTCCCACAGCCGACCCGAGCAGGCTCCAAGCGCTGTGCTAAATGGCCCGCGCCTTTCCATCTACCCAAAGGGAAACCAGAAAGGGGTTTGGTCCTGCTGTTTGTTTGTCCACCCCCTTGGTTGGCACCCAGAGCGGGGATGTGTGAGTTTGACTCCCCGTGAGAAAGCTGCTAACATGTGTGAGAGCGGTTTTCTGTAGTTTTTGGAAACAAGCATAAAATGAGCGTTCAGGCATAGCAGAGGGCATCGCTGCTCGCCCTGAACAACAGCACTTCCGACGACTAGATACTAATGTGATACACAATCAGCATTACCAAGGGAGAAACAACTGGAACATCAGCGCAGAGTATATTTATGGCGTCCCAGACGACAACATGCAAGGATTCTCGATTAAAATCGTTGAGCCCCAATCTTGTCACAGAAAGGTTCTACGCAAACCCTGTAGCCTGTTCAATCTAAACCCTTTGATGTTTACTTTGCTCAGCAGGCTGGGAATTCTTTCCGGAGAGCCAGGTCTGTTCTGTTCATTGTGACAGGACTGCGATGAAGCTATCCTTCGCTGCAGGAGTGTAGATTTGCCGAAATGAGTGCACAGTTGTGTCAGTAATGCAGGGTTGGTCTTGCAAGCGACCGGGCGTCCCAGTTTGGTTCCTTGGCGAGTACGGCATCCCTTGAGCATTCATCGGATGTCGCCGCGTCTGCTCCCAGCTTGTCTCCATTGGGGAGTCTCTGTTATGTGTGCCAGGCTGAAGCCGTGCTCTTGCTCATGGAGCTCATGACTTCCCCCTCTTGTTTTGCACCAAGGGGAAGCCCAGCTTAAGCCCAGATCACCCAAGGTAAATATTTAACAGAACATGGGCCACAAGAGGCACCCCCCAAGTTTGTGCCGGGGTGGTTTAAATGGGAAGCCGACAAGAAACCACTGGTTTTTCGTTGTCCCTCGAATTTGAAACATGCACCCACGTGATTCAACATGGCAACCAACTGCCAGGTGTACCAGGCCATCAGCAAGGTGATTTTGGATGCGCAGTCCTCGGGGGTCATCAACACGCCTCCGCCAATCGTGGGCCGCATCTACCAAGAGATGGGTCTGGGCATGCGAACCTTCCAGTGCGCCATGCCCCTCGGCCTCGACCAAAGCCCGTTTCGCTTTCGGAAAGGTCAATTCGGCTCTTCTGGCGAGGAACCCGATATTCAAGGTTGAGAAAATATGAAACACCATCTGAAGACGTTTTTGGCTCTGGTGCACCCTGGGGTTGGGGATTTAGGGCACGGCAAAGACGCCGGGCTCTAACTAAAACAACGATGTATGGCCCACCAGCCCTGGTGGGTGGATTTTCTGCGTAGTTTGAAGCGGCTTTGGGATGGCCTCAACGCGGCACGTAGGAAGCTGGCGGTCGTGGACTTTCCGGCGCCTTACCTGCTGGCTCTGAAGGCAAAGCGAAGTGTCGCTGTTGTGAATCTTTCGATTCAATCCCCCCACGTTGAACAGCGCCGTTTTCAAACATCCATTTTGCTTTGAAGCTGCTGTTGTCCATTGGGTTGTTGGGATTTGTTGGTTTGGAAATAAGGATGGCTTAGCCTATTTTATGGCGAGCTCAGGGGTAGAACGAGCGGATGCCATGATGTAGGTCCTTTAGCTGCGGATTTCTTGTTTCCGCTTTTGGAACTATAGGAAGAAATGCAGATGTATACGTCTGGCGGATTACTTGGGCGGGGGGTGGGGGCGGGCTCAAAGTGCCAAAGCGATTTTGCAGACTCAAACCCGAACAAAAACAACTCCCTAAAGAAATTTGGTTTTCCAGCAGGTGTTGGGCCTATGGGCCATTTTGGGGTTGAATTTCTACCCGGCAGATGATGCTAGTGGTCCACATGCTGCTGACCCCAGTGGCTGTCATTTCGTGGGCGACGACGGTCGCCTTCAGCGGTTTCTTCTGCTTTGTGCTGGCCCAAGGCTTAGCTCGGAGTCAACTTGGCTTGGCAAAGTGGTTTGACCTTCAAGGGAATCCTAAAGTTGTCGAACACATCTGGTCCACAGATTTCAAAGTGAAGGTTTGGGGACAGTCGCAACCAGAAATAGGGGCCATCCGCCCTTTTGATTCCTTACATGGCTTTGGGTAGACCACTTTTGAACCAGGTTTTGAGTATGCCTCAATTGGTTGGTGTCAACTTGAAGCTATTGTTTGACATTTGTTGGCAGGTTTCTCGGTTTTCGTTGGTAGAATCAGCGTGTTTTGACATACCGGGTTGTTATATATAGGTTTTTCTGATGGCATTTGCTTGATGAAGGAAACACCAAATTTCTCAGGCCTTTTGGCATGGCTCAAACAAGGGGAACGACGGGCAGGGGCATCTCAAAGCTTGTCAACTGGCAGCAGCTTTGCTGGCCGTTGTGTTTCCTTCTTGGATGAAGGGGCACAAGTTACCTTGTTGTACTAAGCTGGTTGGATTGGAGACTACGTACGCATTTCGGATTTAGCCTACACTGCTTCTTCCTTGCACAAGAGAATGCCCACGCCAGTAGACACTGCTTTTGGCATTCCGGTTGTTCGTTGTAGTCGGGGCAACTAGAAGCCATCTTGGTGGTGAATGCGGAGCCTTGGTTCTGTGCACAGTTTCAGCTTTGGGGCGGTGGTAACCTTTTGGCCTGCTGGTTCAAGGTTTTGAGTATGTGAGGCAAAGCCGTGATATTAGTACTAGCAGTTCATAATGTAACCTATACTGTGCATGTTGTGATTTGTCTTCAATGGCGAAGTTGCTAAGGTGAGTCCGTGAGCTTTGCAAAATAGATGTTTCGTCGCAACGTGCCCGTCTTCCATCACAGGCATGCCCTTGAACAAGCAAGAGGTCAGGGCACGTTTGAGATTAGCTGATCCATGTGCCTCACTGATGGAAATTCGCATTCAAGTCTGGCCGGTGATTGTTGCCCTGGGCCTTCCTATCGGTTAGCACTACAGGTGTGAACATTTGTCCTGTTCAGCGCAGTCACACAGGAATCCGAGGGAGAGAACTGGTAATGGGGGTTGGCACGTTCACTGAACAAGTCACCCAACAAAGCCAAGCTGAGAGCACAAGGGATGTCGGGGAGCCATTCTGAGATTTGTCGAGGTTACACCAGAGCACAGTGGCCAGTTCCCCAGAAAAGAATTGTAAGAGAACGCCTCTTCCCTATTAGCTGCTAAGTAAAGGGGGTTAAATACTTACACACACAAACTACTCTCCCCTGATCATGACGAAATTAGGTAGAATTGTACCCCACACCCCAAACTCCCTTAAAGTGCGGTCATGTTATCAAAGCATGTAAGATACTGTCTGACATTGACCGGGTACCGGGCACACCCCCAAGTCGGTATACCATTGGGGCCCAAGGCTGGATGAATTGTACTTCCTTCTCCTTCTACTTCTCTTTGGGTGTTCGTCTCATTACGGGAACCCCCGCATTTGCCGTTTTCTTTTGGTCTCCCTTCAAAAGCAAAGTGAAAACGGCACCCTCAAAGAGACAAACACACAAATACACATCCACACCCATGTCTGCCCTTGCGTTTGCCTTCAAGCCTGCGCTAGGTCTTTACGATGTTTGGGCTGATGCAGCTAGCGGCGGAGCTGGATAATCCCTTCTTGGACAACGGCTTCGGCTTTGACAAGGCCAGTCCTTCGCCTGTCCCAATTTCGGCAAGGCCATGGGCCCCATGGGCCCGCGCCGGTGAGTACATATCTATACGCATCAGCACCATGGGATTCTTGCTTGGGCGGTGAGTAGCTCGATATAAGCTGGCGAGCTGCGCCCAAGAAGCCAGAGAGATCCGCCTGGATCACATTTGAATGGTGTTAGTGCAGGGTGGTAGGGCACAGTAGCAACCAAAAGTGAGTGCGGGAGTCCCCCCCTTTGAATTATTTACATGCACTGGGGTAGACCTTTTACTGCCAGGTTTGATTAGGACTTATTTGAGTATGGGAGGAACAATTGCTACTACTTGTAGTCAACACTTTAGTTTAAAGTTGATAAGATCATGCATGACAGCTCTGTTCCCAAAGACTGTAAAGTGTTTGTGGTTCTTCAGAGGATTCTCTGTTTGCAGGCTAGATTCGATGGTGAGCAAGATAAGCCGTCCCCAGCGTTATGAGTGTGTGGGTGACTTTTTGAGAAGCTTCGCAACCTGTGCAGTGTTGACAATTTTCATTTTGCATGAATGCTTTTGTCGGCACAGCGGGGAGGCCGCGTAATTAGACAGTAGGCCAAGGCCAGACATGGTGAAGATGTCAAGTCTTGGTTGCACCCCAACTGCGCAGATGATCTTGCAGCAAAAGCTGAACAAGGCTTTGGTGTGCCTCGATTTGAGACGATGTCGGGTTGGCTCACAATCGAATGATCCAAACGCTGGCCTTTGATCGGACACTTGGTCGTTGGAGGTTTCTTCAAGTAGCTAGCGAACGTTTCTGGCAGATATTTTAGGGTCGTTTCTGCAGTTGGGGCAGAGTTGGAGATCGCATACATGTGTGATTCACCTACACTGCTACCCACCAGTATGAGCCTCACTGGGACCTCCTAGCCCTTTTTGCTCTAAAAGTCTGGTGGGCTCCGGGTTAGTCGGTCAACGCCACGGGCTGTGCAGAGCTGAGGACCATTCTTCTGGAAGAGGGCCGGCCAGCTTTTTGGCTCCAAGGTGTCAGGTGAAGAAGTCACAGGGCTGTAAACATCGCATAATTTTCCTTTTAGCAGCTGTCAGCATCACCTTTCAAGCCATTTCAGAATCAGTTGCCAGCTTTGGGGTGATGATTCAAGGCAACTGTAGGGAACTCTGAGTCAATTGGGTCTTCTGGAGGGAAAGCGGGTCGTGTTTCGGCTTGTCCTGCTATCACCAATTTGGAAAACCGACAAGGCATCCTGAAACGTCGGGAATTCCATTGGGTTTCTACCCTTTGTGGTGGCAGAAGGACAAGCCCAGACCTTGTTCCTACATGAAACCAGAAATTATCATTCCTCCATGTTTGACTGCCGTTCGGGTTGCCCCACAGAATCCTGCAAGCCCGTCATGGCCTGCACTCCGTCATGCACATCAGTTTGCAGATGTTGTATGTGTGGGCATGCGCTTGCTTTCTCGGGGATGTCATGTTCAGTTGCTTCTGCATTATTACAGAGAGCACAACTAGTATAAGCTTGGACCAAAAAAGATGCCAAGACAATGCCAACCGTTGTGCTGGTTGTGCTACTCATTTGCAAGGAGAGTGACATCCGCATGGAATGCTTCTTTCGCCTGCAACGGCAACCATTATTAGCCGTACTAAGCCCAAGCAAAGCAATCCCAAGAAAAACATGTTTTGCTTGAATCATATTACGCAGGTGAGTCAGCCAGAGCCCGACATTTGTTTGATTGTGCCGGCAAAAATAGGGTGCCTCCACCCCGCCAGTTTTGGGGGAACCCGAGAAGGGGCGTTCCCAAAAGTAAAATCCTCGGTAAATAGTGGATCTTTGGGTTCCATGTTGCCTTTGGAATAATTTGGAGGCAGGCCCTTCTCGAGGTGGCAAGCCTTTCGCAGACCGCGGCGATTTTGGGGAGCGACGACCTCGAGGAGATGCAGCGACGGGCTCAGAACTCACCGAAGTTTTGGGACTCGCCAAACTCTGGGCTCACCAGTGGATGAGGGTTGTTGAAGCTCTCCAATTGTCAGGGGTGAACCTCTGGAGGCTCAACAGACCCAACGAGACTTCCCAGGAGCCCTTTTGGGATGGATGGCTATGTTTCAGGAGAGTCTTGGCCTCGCAGGGCGTCCCTCATTGAGCGCGGAAGCATGATGTCCGTCATGCCCAAGCTGCCTGGGCAGGTGGAGGCTGGTTCACTCCGGGACACACTTTTTGCAACATACAACATTTGTTATAAACAGAAAGTCTAGACGTTCCTTTTGCAAATCCACTTAGGAACCTCATGGGCTTACTGTGCAATAAGTTTGTTCACCCACAAGATAAACCTTGGGAGCAGTGGCCAATCTCGCCCGTTTAGTGCAGTTCCTTCCTCTAGCAACCCTAGCAACCCCGTGTGGCGGCAACCCTCAGGCGCTGAGTTGCAAGGGATGGGATCATTGGGAAATCAAGCGCTCCGCTTTGCCGACCTTGAGAGATTGACTCGTGGTTTACAGCTTTGTCCAAAAAGCACCAGTCCTTCCCACTCAACAAACACCAGCAAAGCCTGGTTTCGAACCCTCTATGCTTATGGGGTCAACATGGGTCTACGGTCTACACGGGGTCAACGTAGTGTCTAGATGGGGTCAACATGGGGTCAACATAGGCCAATGGCATTGTCTTACTTCGCCCTTGGCCTTTGCCAGGACAGCGACTGAGCGGAAAAATCCGAGCTGAGGCTGGACTGGGTCAAGCTTGAGTGAACAATGCGGTTTGGGAAAGATAGGAGAACATATTTCCGCGCATCAATGGCTACACACATACATGCTTATCTGCTACAAAGCATCGTATCATTCAGAACAGGGTCTGACGTGTTGTGACAACATATTGAAACATATCATGGGAATGACTGGCCGCACGCAGTGTTCCTCATTTCATGCATGGTGGTTCGGCAGGTGTTTGCATGTCTGCTCTTGCTGCTTTCAAGTTGGCCATCACAAGTCAGCAGCGACCCAATCCCCCGTTGGCCATTGAAGCAGGGTTTTCTAGTAGCTGGCTCTACTTGGGATTTTGGTAAGGTATGTGGAAACCCTTGTAAATCATTATGCTGGAGAACCGAAAGTCAACAAGCTTTGCATGCTCAAGTGCCTGGCCAGGTCTTCCGTCAGCTTGGCACGTGCACTGCCACCCTTGTGAATTTGGCTAGCTTTTCCAAGACCTTGAGGGCGCAAGTGCCTAATGTAATTGCACCCCTTTCTGACCCGTTACATCCTTAGAAGGTACCTGGCCCCTTTGGGAGAGGCAAAGATGCAGTTTTGCACGTATTGCTTCGTGGCAGCATGCGACTCCGCGCCGGAGTCGCCCAAAATGGCTGCTGCGCGCAGGAATGAAGCCAGGGGGGAATTTAGAAGCGCAAAGTCTCAAGCGGAGGTCTTCATGACTTGGTGTCTAAACTGATGAACTTGTAATGTATTTGTCGGCTTGAAATAGCTTGAAGCCAAGCGTTTACGGCCTAGGTTCTGACACAGTTAGGATTCCCTTGTTGGACACAATGCCATTGGTTTTTACCGCTTTATGCATGTTTCCTTTCCCTGTCCATTCCTGATAGCATGACCGTGGCAGCAGTCTGCTGTCAGTATATAATTCGTGTTTGCAAGCTTCCCTACGTCACGTCAGAGACGTAAGGACGCAGGATTGGCTTGCGCATCAGGCCCAGTTGAATTGCGCGGCTTTCTGACACGCTTTCAGAACATGAAAGTTACATTGGAACTTGCAAATTGCTGTTGTTTCCCACCTGTTTGTCCGGCCATTGGAGCGGTTCTCTTGGTACCTGGCGCTTAAAGACCACAGACGTTCAGGCTTTGGCCTTCACCTTTTCTGTGGGCATTCAGACTTAGTATGTAGGGTGTACAGATGCATCTAGATCGATCCCGTGCAAAAAAGCGGCGGCAAAAGAGCACGACTTGGCCAGAGAGTGAGTGAATCGAGCACCTGCACATGCTGCAAACCATTGCCATCAGAAAAAGTCCAGATGCAGCCTCCCTGCTTCTCGCGCAGCAGATCACCCCAGTCCAAATATCGCCTGAGGCTGCCATCGTTGGGGTGAGGCAGGGTACCTCGTGCCGCAGCCAATGCTTTGGTTGTCACGCGAGCAGTGTTTTGTTTTGTGTCCCGGGTATTTTGCCTGGCCTAAAAATATGAGTTATACGAGAACCACCAACTATTATGTATCTTGACCTGAAGCGCATCACCTGCCTGAAATGCTGGAATTCTAGACCTTGTCTCGCAGCTACAAGGCCACGCCTTGGGGGATGGACAGTGCTCCCACAGCACTGCGGCTGGGATGGCAGCAGTGGGTTTTGCACGGGGACTAGCTCCGGCACGGACTCCAGGGTTCTTTCTTGCAAGCCCAGCCAAGCTCTTGGGTGTCAAGCTGGGGACCGGATTGTCTTAGTGAGGCTAGGGTTATTTGAATGCCTGTCTTGTTGAAGACCCATTGCTGCCCTGGCGGATGGCGGATTGATGCCAGCGCAGCCTCTGGGCCATCGCTTGCATCGAAAGACATCGGCTGGGTAATTCATGCCATGGGACGTGTGGAGCGAGTGGCGCAAACAGGGCCGCCTTCGTCTCTGCTTTTCTGGCCAGCTCGGAGCAGAAATCTGTTGTGAATGCAGGCTTTACTTCGCCCCTGGTTGAATGGTGGATGCTTTCTGGTGGGCAATTGGCAACAGAACGTTTGGTAGGCCTCCAAGTTTTTTGTCTAAGATGCCTGCATGAAGTCAAGCAGTTGGGGTTTGTAAATACCCAATATCAGTAGCAACAAGGCCGAACAATGAGTTCAGCTTCAGCCCCCCCGCTTTCCAACCTTGGGTATGGATCCATGCGAAACAAGCTGCTGTGGATGTGTTTTAGGCAAACTATAACGAGCTCTGCTGGGGTAAACGAGCTCGCCCCGAGGGACATTGGGGACAACTCTAAAGTTCAACCACAAAAGCCAGGGGACCAAGGCCAATTTCCCATATCCTCTCAAGCCTGCACAACCGAAGCTGAAAGGAAATTGTGGCTCTATTTTCTTTGCCTTTAAACCAAGGTAAAAAGAGCAGTGCCAACGAGCACAAAGCCAAATGTGATTGTTGTCAGCCCTTGTGGCTCAGATAGGACAGTTGGAACACGAGCTGAGAAAAGCTCGGGACAGCCATGGGGGGAGATGGCGGCCAGGCGAGGTCCGTGCACGGTGAGCAACGCAGGTTGTCTTTGTTGAATGTGATTGGTTGAAACTAGATCAGCTCAACCGGTCCGATGCAGCCCAAGGTTTTTCAGCAGGGTTTCAAGCCTAGAGATGACTCTGCAGGTTGGCAACCTGCAGGATTTCAAGCCAGCTGTTGCCAAGCAATCGCGAGAATGACCCTGCAGGTTGGCAACCTGCAGGATTTCAACCCAGCTGCTGCCAAGCAATCGCGCGCATGATGCTGCAGGTTGGCAACCTGCAGGGTTTCAACTTAGATGTTGCCAAGCAATCGCGAGAATGATGCTGGTGCTGCCACGCAGCACCCCTGAATGACCCTGCAGGTTGGCAACCTGCAGGATTTCAACCCACATGCTGTGAACCAAATGATGCTGCAGGTTGGCAACCTGCAGGATTTCAACCCAGCTGCTGCCAAGCAATCGCGCGAATGATGCTGCATGCAAGTTGGCAACCTGCAGGATTTCAACTGCAATCGCGAGAATGATGCTGCGCAGCACCCCGAGATAAGCAACCTGCAGGGTTTCATGCTGCCAAGCAATCACACAAATGATGGAGAATCCTGTAGGTTGGCAATCTGCAGGATTTCAACCCAGATGCTGCCAAGCAATCATGCGAATGATGCTGGTGATGTGATGTTGCAAGAAACACATCTAGGGTCAGTGAATGCACTTCTTTGTTCGAGTGCGGGGCCGTTGGACGACTGCGTGCGACAAAGCCATAGGCAGCGTGTTCAATCCTACATGATGGGAAGGAGGTTGTGGGTCCAAGTGAAGGGGGCACCCCTGTGGTGCACCCCTGTGGTCTCGCGCTAGCCAACTGGACACTCAGCGCAAGTTGCAAGGGCAGCAGTCCTCACACCCACTCAAAGCCAAGCCTGTGAGCTTGTACATTCCTACAAAATAAGCATAGCATATTTATTTCAATGGGCATGGTGTTTCAGCTTTCATTGTGTCTTGTATTGGGATGGTGCATGAACCTGAGTGCCTTAAAGGATTCATTGTGCCAGTCAGATGTTGAGGATCCTGCTGAAAAGCTCTTAGAAGAGCTGTATCCTTGAAGGTAGTGGACCTGCCTAGAATCTCTAGAACTTGTCGCGTTCGATCTGTCAGGTCATTGACCGGGCCACAATGGTCAAGACCAAGGGATGGGGGTTGACCAAGGCGCGGACACTTGAGGAGGTGTTGGGTTTGCGCGAATCATTCACTGAGGCTCCAAGCACCTGGTACGGATGTACTTTGACCCGGTTTTGACCCCTTGAGTACATTCTGGGATGTTGGACTCTCTCAGAATAATGAACTTACTGCAACGGCCAGAAATCTGACAATCCCCCTACGTGCGCTGAATCGTTCAAGGCAAATCGCATTCTGATCCGATCCTGTCGCGCTTTGTGACTTGGAGAATGTGAAGGCTGTGTGTGTGTGTGTGTGTTGTGAGTGTGTGTGTGAGTCTTCTGAGTGTGTGTGTGTGTGTGTCTTCTTGTTTGCGTACTTGTGTGTTGTTTGCCAGTGCGTGTTTGCATGTTCGTGTTTGCTGTGGCTGCCTGGCTGGCCGTGGGCTGGCTGGCTGTGGCTGGCTGGGTGGGTGGCTGGGTCGCCTGGGCTGCTGAGAGTCTCAGTTGCGTTGAAGGAAGAATCTACATTGGCAAAAGCCCACCAACAGCCCTGATAGGGCGGCCTGGACGAACATGGGCTGGCAACCCGTTTACTCTCCTACAGATCATGCCAAAAACCTTTTGTTGTAGAGGACGCGCCTGTTCAGGGGACCCATTTTTTCGGTTCCATGTTGATTTGCCGTGAAGGGCCCCGAATGAGTTCTCCCGGAGAGCTACCTCGTAGGGAACAAACACACACACGCACACACGCACTTTCACGGCGCATGTGCTTGACTTGGGGACACTGATGCACTGCCTCGGAATG